CAAAAATAATCAAGCATTTTACATGACCTGAGAAAATTCCGTCCTTGGCTATCAGTACCTCCTGGGTTAGGAAATATCTTTATGGCCTTTTTGAGTGATCGGTCTAGTATGGTATTTGCATTCTGATATTTGGATCTATGACAAAATTTCCCTTGCCGCACACTGGTATTAATAGTTTTTTAAAGTCTAAGGAATAGTCGTGGGGCACCTGGGTGGCTCAGTCGGTTAAACATCTGCCTTCGGCTCAGCTCATGATCTCAGGGTTCTGGGATCGAGCCCCACGTTGGGCTCCCTGCTCAGAGGGGAGCCTGCTTCTCGCTCTCGCTCTCCCTCTGTGCTTTCCCTCTCTCTCTCTCTTTCTCTCAAGTAAAGAAAATATTTATTAAAAAAAATAAAGTCTAAGGAATAACTGCTAGTTGAATGCTACTTACTACAAAAAATTAAATATAATTAATGACATGGAAGGGTTAGTTTCTCTCTAAGAGAATCATTTTCATTGACTAGAAATATAATTTATAGACTACTTAAATATAAATAAAATCAGAACGTATTTATTTATTAAGATATAGATTTTTAAATGACATTAGCTGGATTTTCTTCCTGAAAAGAAAGGACTCACTCTAGCATTTTCTGTGTGCCTGGCATTTTTCTAAGATACCGGACACATAGATTATTTCCTCAAGGAGCTCTTGTTTGCCCTGAGAACATATTTATGACACTAGTCAGGTGGGGGGAACTTCAGTAATACCTCTAGATCTCTGACCACAACCGTGACAAGAATATTCACATAGAGCATAGTCCTGGTTCCCTGCCTAAGCGACTTTAATAGTTAAAATCATCTACCTGAAATGTTTCATAAAGTGTTTTCTGCCTTCAACTTATATCCATTATGCCATGAAAATGCCTCTCCGACATGAAGATGGAGAGGAGGAGGGAAAGGGAGATGGGAAAAGAGTGAATGATGAGTATTTGCGAAGACATGATACTAAGGTCTTGGGCGTGTTGTCTCCGTCAGTCTGTGCAACACAGCTATGCAGGAGAATTCTGTTATTACCCCCATGTTATGCATGACAAAACGGAGTCTTAGGTAAGTACTTTCTCCCAAGAACCCATACCAGAAGTGATCTGGGGTATCACATCAATATCAACTATGACCTGATTTCCTAAATAGCCGTATTTTGTGTCCCCAACAACGTACGCAGCTCCGTTGTCCCATTTCCTGGAAACTGACGGCAAGCTCAACGCTGTGTTCCTTCATAACTGCTGGCTCACTGGGGCCTCACAGCAAACCCTGAAAGACAAGGAGTATTAGCTCTGTGTTAGAGAGGGAGAAATTAAGGCTCAGGAAGCTTAGGCGACTTGCCTAAAGCCACGCTGCCTGCAAGTCAGGGGAGCCAGGAGTCAAACCCTGGTCTAACTCCAAAATCCACGCATTCCCTCTGACTCTGCACATTTACAATGTAGAGGATCCCTCGCTCTAATCCCCTATATTGACAACCACTGAGCCCGTTGTGTTTCCGACACTCGTCGTTGCTTCCCAGGGTACACAGACAGGTTATGCATCATCAGAAATTGCCAGGTCAAGGGGAAATTAAGAGCTGAAATCGAGACCCCACTACACCTGCTTCGGCACACCCTCCTTCCCAGGCAGTGGCCCCTGTGGTGGGACCACGCGCCTCAAGGGGAGGGGCCTCTCTTTCCTATTTATCATCCTTGCGGTCTGGGGCGGCTTCAGTCTTTAGAACCATAACTCTCTCCAGTGTCTTCCCTTTCCCTCCATAAAACTTCCTGGGGTAGATGGGAGCTAGCCTTGAGTTATCTGGGGGTAATAGAAGTGCCTTCATGGAAGATCTTTTGCTGGATGCTTGTGGCAACCCGAACCCCAGACCCTGTTGGATAAGCCAGCTCAAGAAAGCTCATGTCCTGACTGAAACTGTGGCCTTTTTGACATGACCTACTAAAATCCCCTCGTTCCCGTTCAGGTCCAGAGTCCTATGGAGCGTGCTGTGTCAGTATGGTAGAAATGGAAAGAGGAAGGGTCTGCAGTCAGCCATGCTTGGCTTTGAATCCTCTGAGTAGTGGTTAAGTCCGTGCAAAGCCTCAGTCTCTGCACCTTGCAGGGGGCGCTGGAAACAGCCTCAAAGGAGTAAAGGAGCAGCGTGCTCGGGGCACTTAGTGGTTCAGTAGCCAGTCTGGGTTAGCGTCCTGGCTCCGCCACTGGGCTAGTCTTGCTAACATAAGGTGTCATCAGATCCTTTCATGGAGAGACTCCCAGACTAATAACACAGATTCATCAGCCACGGTTGGCATCGCTGACAGCCGGCTGAAAGTCCTGGGAATGGAGACCCAGGATCTTTGAAATGCCTGAAGTGCAACTGGGACATCCTTCTTTCTGCTAGAATGGGCCAGGGGGAGAAATGGTCCTATCCCGGAATTAGGAGACCTAGCCCAAGGGGCTGACACCACCAGCAAGAACAACCAGCCAAGAAGACACGAGGGCACGGTCTCAGGTGTTGGTAAAGGCGCGCCTGATTGATTTGGGCAGGAGGAAGAGCAATTGAGAGCAGGACAAGATCACTGGGTAGAAGGGGGCTGGTGATCAGGGCCCAAGGACCAGCTGGAAGAGAATCTCTACCTGCCGTCAGGGCACCGCTCACAGAGGGACAGTGACCGCTGTGACCGAGACGAGCATAGTGTTATCTTCTGCATGGGTGATGACTGCTTACCTGGAACACTTTGTGTGCTCTTGACTTTGGAGCTCTGTGACCTCTGAGTGGCTGAGGACTCAGCCGGGGGTGTTTTTTTATGGACTGTAGGCTGAAAGCAAGTGTTTTTGTCCCGTGGCCTCTTCCAGGTCCCTGTTCTCCCAGCTCTGCCTCCCCAGGGCTCAGGACAGATGAACGGACACTGGGTTCTTCCCTAGAATGTAAGCATCTAGGTCACATTCCTCTGGAAGACAGTTGAGCCTGATAGTGCAGAGACTGGGGAGATCGTGGAGTTTTCTAGAGGAAAGCTTGCAAATTAAACCCCTGGGATGCCCTCCAAGAGGCCACCTGCTCTCCCATGCACATCGTTAGCTGTAGGACAAGGGGAATTTGAAGAAAGGACAAACAGCCTCTTCATTCTTATTCCGTTCTTTCCCGTCTAGACCCAGAGATTCCAGTTCTCTGAAGCAGGACCAATTGTGTGGAAATCTAAGGCAGCTTAATAACGCCAAGTGTTAGCATCTTACCCTGGGTGCTCCTTCCCGTTTGACAAGTTCTCCTTTTCAAATTCTTGTTTCATCATGTAGCCTAGCAATTCAGCAGCTTTGGAGAAGGGCAAGTGTGTTCTCTGCAGCTCCTCATTCTGGCCACGACTAGCAAGACGCACTGGGCAAGGCTCAGAGGCCCTGAGCGCCTTGCAGCCTCTCACAGACCTTAGGCTTAGACTGGCTAACAGCTCAGTGGAATGTGCTCCAGAGGCAGGAGGGGTGGGAGGAGGAGGGGAAAGTGGGGGGGGGGGAGAGGAAAGGGGAGGGGAAAGGGGCCCCAGAAAGACCCTGCAGATGAGAGGAAGCAGATACCCCTAAAGCTGAGTTTGGGTCAGCCTCCTGATATAGCAGCAATTTTTTATGACAAACATTTGGCAAGAATTACCCGAGGTCTTCAAAAACCAGAGTACTGGGGATTAATATGCTCAGTATTAATAAAATAACAAATTATTAACATTTGATTTAGTAAAGATACTTGTTAACATGTGTAATGTATTTATAGATGTTCATAAATTGAATACCAATGATTAATGTTGAATATATTATCATCAAAACATTAACTATTAATCAAATATGTAATGAAATATTAGATATTATCATAAATATTTATCTGTGATTTTATTTAGGTCACCTAGTTGTTGGTTTCTCTTATTCCTGATATTTAAAAACTCTCGTAGGTTAAGTGAAGAACCATTTAGAGAAATAGAGATCAAGTAAATATGTGGAAATTAAGTGTACTCAGAGAGCAATGAGGAGATAAGAACTGTGGATGTAAGCATTTGTATAAAACATAAAAAGTGAAAATTTCCAAGAGGCAAAATAAAACTTCATTTAAGCAAAATGATTTTTTTTGGCTTTTTTAAAACCAAACTTTCTTTCCTTGAACTCTTCTTAAATTTTTTTACTGAGATGTAATTGATACATAGCATTACATTAATTTCAGGTATACAACCTAATTCGAGGGGATTTGTGTGTATTGTGAAATGCTCATCGCAATAAGTCTAGTTAACGTCTGTCATTGCACTTAGTAAGATGATGTATTCTAAACATGTTTTTTTAAGTCTTTCCTGATTTGTGGTAATCAAAGTATGTTACATTTCACTGAGATTATACATGACGCATACGTTATTACAACGTGATTGTAATGGAGCTATATGGATCAGGAGAGCTGCTATTAAATTTTACCTAACAGATGTAGCAAGATATTTGAACAGGGTTTTTCTTTTACTATTATGTCATTGGAGCATAAAGTAATAAGTAGTATAAGAAAATCCGTGCAGGTAGAAAAACTGGTTCCTACGGCTTGTGCAACATTGCAAATTTTCACTTTTGTTATAATAAAAAGTTCGGTCTTTGCATTGTAATTTATGTTTTTCTGAGTCAGATGGAGCATTACTGAATTTAAACCCCACTGTGGTGTGGGGTTTCAGACAGTCTAGTTCCTGAATTCTAATAGATGTGCTAAAGGCGGGGATTTTAAGCTGATTTTCTTTTTTCTTTATCATACCTACTTATGATAAGACAATAAGGCTTCCCTTATGTTTCAGTCTGCAGTGAGGTTCTGGTTGCCTGTGTAATTTACCTGTGTGCATATGACAACATTTTTATGAATAGCGCAAGATTGGAGAGAACAAATCGGATGTCACTTAATACTAGAGAGCCATATCCATTTACTCAGGACCAGGTTGATTCACAAAGGAGTGGGGTATTCACTACGATAAAAAATGCAGCTTTTTCCTCATCTCAGCAAGAGGCCATTACAGAGGAGCTCACCTATTAGCATCTGTGGCTGTGTCCCCTTTGGAGGATTTCATCGTCACTCTCCTAGCATCAGGTAAGAGCCCTTTTCCAGGAAATACTCATCACCCATTCTCTTACCCTGGTCTACGGCCGTAGTTTCACGTAATTACCACCAAAGGGCTATTTTCCTGTTTTCTGTTGATGTGATTACATTATATTAACCAACATTCGATAATACTTTGCGATGCGTACCCTTGTGGACCTCAAGATCTGAGTAAAATCCCTCAGATGTAACGCTCTGAGAAGTTACGCTGCAGTTCCTTTAGACGGTAATTATGTTTAATACCAGATGGTTTCAGGCAATCTAACTTTTCTATAATGAATGAAAATAATTTGAAGACTCATAGGCCTCTCTCTTTCATTACAGAATGTACAGGCTTTTCCCACACCCTTGTTCTGGAACATTAAGAAAGAAGATATGGAGAGAGAGAAGAAAGAAACAGAGGACCCCCTGCTAGTATTTCTATAAACAACTAGTGGTGTTTAAAGGCTAATAAAGCTCCAAAGAACTCTCTTATAACCATAATCTTTGGGCCAATTTTAAAATATTTTAGATGGAGGAACGTCAAGAAAAATAGAGACAATTTCTTAAGACATGATTCTCTTCCCTCAACCTCCATAAAAGATTATATATATATATATATATGGCTGTCATATAAGGGGTAATTGAAATTCCAAAGCACAAAGGCAATGCAGAGAGAGGGGGTAAAAAAAAAAAAAAAGAATCAATCTTTCATATGTTTTTTTCAAAGGCTTGGCAAGAAACCAGGGGTAATATTTTTGCAACTGGGAATGTGTGTTTGTTGAAGAATATTCCCACATTTGAATCATCATCAGGGGTCCTAGTCTTGTTTTACTTTCAAAGGTAGAGAGGGTATAACATTAACCCCAACTGGGAAAAGGAAAATGCCTCACTGTAATTCTCCTCTAGGGAGCAGGAATAAAAGGATTACATATGCCTGCATCATGGAGAATTTCCTCACTCAGACAAGACAAAAGACTTCATTATTTTTCACCAGACACTTGAAGCTTTGTGCCTCCCTATACCAGAAGACAGGCAGAGCAATTTTTTCTATTAAACCACTAGACGGGGTTTCTAAGAAACTTGCCCTTGTGAAGAGATATGGACAAGACAGTGAAGACCTGATACGATTACTTTGTGGTCCACCCCCTAAGAAAAGCCAGACTTCGCCTGAAGTTCGTGGTGTGTGTTTTCAGTATGATCGGCTTCGCTTTCTCTCTAGGCAACAAATAAATGAATGTTTTCATGCTGAAAATCTATTTCTTTTATCTTCGGGTGAGGCCGAAAAACATCTAAATTCTAATAAAAAATTTAAAGTGGCAAAATATAACTTAATTGAATATTCAAATACTTTTCCTTCTGACTAGGTCTGTCACTGAGTAACTTTGATGACATGTACATCTCTCTTCTTATTGGTAAAGTTATAAAAGTCTCAAACTCCTTACTTACATTTCAGCGCTGTAGTAGATTTCGTGTGAAGATACGGTTCACAGAGACCACGCTCCCGGTGACAGATCAGACCCGCCTCTTAAGAGATTGAAATGAACTCAGTTCTGCCTCATATTGACTTGTAGGTTCCCCTTAACAGTGTCACATAGAATATAAAGATTTATAAATTTTCGGCTTGTGAGAAGCACTGTCTGATTTTTTTTCATTCCTGTCTCAGGGCCTCCTTTCTTATGGGCGTGCAGACTGTTGCTTGTGGAGCCTAGTATTCTAACTGGAGATAAAATTAAAGTTCACTTTCCCTTTCAAAAGCATTTTTCAAACACATGCTGTGCTGTTTGTGATTATTGCCTTGTTTCATACGTGTGAAGTATCGAGACGTTAAAATATTGGATCTTCACAAAATTTCAAGGTTCATTCATTTCACAAATATTTATTGAGCACCTACTGTGTGCAAGGTGAACTGACAGGTGAGCAACAGTGATGATAACTGTATTAGTTACCAACTATTGTGTAACAAGTTGTGATTGAAACAATGGAGATTAATCTCAAAGTCTCCGTGGGGAACTGGGGTGTGGCTTAGCTGGGTCTCTCACAGGCAGCAGGCATTTACCACTTGCTCCAGAGGAATCCCCTTCCTCGCTCACTCTCCCATTCTTAATAAGGTTTAGCTCCCCTAAGCAGTTAATGTTTCGGTTCCTTCCTCTCGCACATTTAGCAGATGGCCACTCTCGTTCCTTAAGAAGTGGATCTTTCCATTTTACATCTGTAGAACGTAGTCCTCTACCCTCTGTAGGAAGATTTTTTTTAAAGGTTTTATTTATTTATTTGACAGAGAGAGATCACAAGTAGGCAGAGAGGCAGGAAGAGAGGGTGGTGGGGGGAAGCAGGCTCCCCGCTGAGCAGAGAGTGGGATGTGGGGCTCGATCCCAGGACCCTGAGATCATGACCTGAGGCGAAGGCAGAGGCTTAACCGACTGAGCCACCCAGGTGCTCCTGTAGAATGATTTAATACCAGCTGTGACCTGGGACACCACGGCAGCCTGCTTCGGCTGAGCCAGCAAGTGAGGGGCAAGGGACAATGGGGAAGATGAAATGCGTCTTTTGTGACTTACCGCATCCTGATTGCCTTATACTTGTTAAGAGCAAGTCAGTAAGTCCTACCCACGTTCTTGCCTTACGCCAGAGCATGAAAACCAGGAGGCAGGATCGTTGGGGGCCACCTGAGAAACACCTGCGCGGGACATTGCAGGAGTTGATTGAGAGATCACGTGCTCGCGATAATACCACAGCATGTTTATTGAGGACGGATGTGTGGAGACGGGTGAAAAGGCTCGGCGCTAGTCCATATCACTGTTGATCAGGGGCAGAGCAGAAGACTTACCTTCCCATATGACCCTCTGTCACACTCGCTTTTCTGTCCTCCAGCCCCATAGAACGTTTTAATACCAATCATGATATGGGACAAGATAGAAAGGTAAATAACAGCCACTAAAATGTAGACGAAGTGTCGGTGTTTCCAAAGACCGGTGCATTCATAATCATAGCTGGTCCTCCCGGCTCCCTGCGAGGTTGGCGGAAAGGGTGGTGGTGGTCTCCGTTTTACACGGAGGACACGGAGCCTCGGGGAATGCCTGTCCCCCGCCTGAGGTGCCAGGACCAGCCAGAGGCGAGATCGGAACTGCATGGTTCTAAACATCATGTGTTCTCAAGACAGGCGTCCAGTCGAAGGAGAACTTTCTGTCTGAGCTCTGCTGCCAGGTGTGAAAGTTCTAACTTACTGTGTTGCCTGGACCTTGAAACTAGCAAGTTCCAGATGCAGGCCCCCTCCTCCCTCAGCCTCCTTATACCTGCACCTGTCTGCTTCGTGCTCCCTCCTTCTCTCCATCACTCTGCCCGGGAGAGTGCCAGCCACTGCTCCTCCTGGGAACGCAAGGATGAGTGCTCAGACCCTCCCTAAACAGCTCTTGAGGGAGGTGACCAGTGATGACAAAACGCCATGAGCATTAATAACTTGCTGCAGGAGCATGGGACATAAAGCATTTTCCTATGCTTTCGCATGAGTGAATATTCATTTCTCCCTTCCTATTCCTTCTCAGAACCCATTTATATCAAAGTTTGTAATTATATTACTCATGTCAGAAATACTATTTGGTATTCGCCATTTGGATTACAGTGTATGCTTGTGTGTAATGCAATTGTATTTCCTCGTAAAAATAATAAAGCAGGCGCTTACCATACTTTTGTGTGAACCTTGGCACCTTGTATTAGAAAATGTATAACCTCTTAGTGGAATCCAGTAGTGCGAGATTGAAGTGAATAATTTTCTACTAAGCCTGTTATTTTCCAAAATAGCAAAATATTTTATGTTATCAAAGAACGTGACAGTGGCTTATGTATAAGGCTGTTTTGCTTCTGCGGAAGCATCCTGATGTGGCCTTTTTCTGTACCTGCTTCAACGTCCAGGTGTCCTCAGGGCGGAAGTGTTATGTAGCTTTTTTCCTCACTCCCTGCCTGCCCCCTCCTACCCCAGGTTTATGTCCTGCCGTCCGAGTTCCTCCCTCCATCTGTAGGAAACCCGTTTTTAGCAGCTGGTACTTTTGCATAATGTAATTAGATGTTCCCCATATGTTTTCTTTTAGACAGATTTATGTATCTGTAGAAGAGTTGTATCTTCTGTGCCATTACCTGTTGTTTCTGTGGGGAAGCTGTTACAGATAAAGAGCTGGTTTTTAACTCTAATGGATGTGGTACCCAGAACAGGATTTTGAGTTTTGAGTTTAGTAAGATCCACCACTGTCCTTAGTAGAGGAAAAAAGCCTTGAGGAGCCTCCAAATGAACTCTGTGTCATGTGCCCCCACTCGCCCCGACCCCTGCAAACTGCCTTCACCCAAATGTTTATTTAGCAATTTGCTAGATGAATGTAGCCCCTAGTTTACCACTAAGAAGCTCTAGCATTTCCCAATGAATTTCCCACTTCAAAAACCACTAGATGCTCAAAGGAAAGAGTGAGATATCAGAGCGTTTGGTCTAAGAGACTCCACAAGAGTTGAGCTGCCCATGAAGATGGAGACCGTTGTTGACCTTTGTCTTGGCACAGATGTGGGGGCAGCCCTGGGGTGTGGGGCTGGAACAGGGGCTCAGAGATAGTTGCACTGAGCCAGAGGCACCAAAGGGGACCTCAGAACGCCAAGGGAAGAGGGCTGCATCTGCCTGATTTCACTCTGCTCAGGTTACCTGGGGACCTTTGCAGTTCCGGGAAAAGAGGTGGTGGGAGAGCAGCTTCTGCTCACGAGAAGGCAAAGCTCTGGCAGGGTCCCCGCAGCGAGGAAATGGAAACCACGAAGGTGTATGCTTGACTCGAACGCAACTCTGAAGCCACCTGTTACACGACTTAGCTGGCCCAAGTTACTGAGCATTTTGTTCTTTTGCTCATCATTTCCGGTTTTGAAATTGTACTAACAAACACTGTTACATACTCAGAGGAAAGAGATCGGAAGAGGAAATGAGAGCCAGTGGTGTTCTATATCCTGCCCATCGGAGTGGTTGTCTCAGTCTGATTCAACACACGATTTCTGCTGGCAGGGTACAGCTAAAATCCAACCTCCCCCCGCCCCCCAACCCCGGTCAACCTGACCTTCTCATCCAGAGAACAAAGATCCACATGTCACAGCACAGCTGAAACTCCAGCCCATTTTACTGTCATGTTCTGAATTCTCTAGCCCCCGGTGGGAAAGAAAGAGCTAGTCTTGAGCCAAAGAGGAAAGGAGCTGCTCTCTGCACTGCAGCCATGTTGCTGGTGGAGGGATGGAAGGGATGCCCTTGGGCGTGGACTCTTTCCAACAGCGGCTGCACCTCCCACCATGGACACCTTCCTGTCTCGCTGGGTCAGAGAACGGAGTCTCAGCAGGCTCCACAGAGCCACCCCAGGGGACATGGGTGTGTTGCGTTGACGTGGATGTTGGGACACCCATGAGGTTCTGGAGTCCGAAGATGCGTCCTAACTCTTCCCCAGCGAGAATGCCCGTGCATGCTCAGACTGGGCTGTGGGGCACGTCACGCAGTCCTGTGTCATAGGCAACTTGGGGCCAGTGTCATCTCTCCACGCCAAACAGAGCAGGGATGGACAGGTCGAACGCGTATACTGCATTCAAGTTGCATGTGTTTTGTAGGTAAGCCCTAAGGGCTCAGCTACTTTGGCCGGGGGGATTCTTAGGACAAAAAATAAAGGTTACTAAGACCATGGCTAAAGGTTAAGTCCTGACGTTTACACAAATGGCAAGATCTGTAGGTCTGTGGCAAGACAACATAGCTTTCCAAATAGATGTTCTCCGGTTGCTTCGTCGTTTCCAGCCCTTGGTCCGAAGAACAGTTCTCAGTTTATGTACATTGTTCGAGATGGTGCTAAAGCTTGGGGAGCTCAGCCTGACTTACAAATGCGTCTTCCTGCAGGACACCGTCCTGGTCCTGAAAATAAGCCCATTCTCTGTCTCTCAGTGCCATAAATCCTCGTCGTTCGGTAAAATTTTGACTTTGGATTCTACATAGAAATGCTCCGTGGTGCTTATTAAACCAAGGAGAGTGATGTGGTGAGGATGGCTTCCTGAAACGCATTTACATTCATTGAATTTGCATGATTTTCATAGGTATTTGCCTTGATTATCTTCATTGGCATCAGAGGTATTTTTAACTACTCGAATATACACGTGCTATCGTAAGAGTGGCTTGCAAGTGTGCTAGAGAGAGACATGGTTCTTTTTCTTGAAAATCTTCACTCTGAGACAGACGATGATAATCTAATTCAAAGGCAATCTAGAAATGTATTTTAGGAAGCATAAGTATGAAAATTTCATGTAATGTAATGACAAAAGTCATGTGTTCAGGTGTTGAACAAACACGGCATCATAAAATTTGCGTAACATAAGACCCTGATACTTTAAGTCTGTGAGTTTTCTTTGAGATCAGGGTCTGGTCCTCACTTTACCAATCAGAAAACTGAGCCCAAAGATCACTCACCTAGTCAGTGGTAGTGTCACCTGTGGGACACAGGTCTCTGAGCCTCTGTATTATTTTCTCTCCACTTGACTACTACATCAAGGGAATTGCTGTCGTTTCCAGATGGAGCTTTCTGGAAGAGGAATTTTGTTTTCTCTTCCAATCATTCACATCCCAGGTGTTGAGTCACCCAGTTATCTTCCCTCATTAACAAATCTGAAACTATACCAGCCCAGGTATGGTTTCAAGGGGGCATGTTTTTTAAAGTCTTCAGAGTTCCGTGGTTTGCAAAGAAAGAGGTAACCGGTCACCTGTAAGCCACGGACTTTAGACTGAGGTTTCCTAGGTATTAATCTCAGCTTTCATTACCTCTCTCTGTCAGTCACTTTTGCCTCCGGTTTTATGTTTTCCTACTTCCCTGGAGTTCTGCAGAATCTCCTTGGGACATAGACTCTGCATCCCAGGGGCCTGGGTGGACAAATCCTTCCCCAAAGAGTTGTTCTTAGAAACCCCCTTGTCGAAATTCAAAACCAACATCATGCCTACCTATGATGAGGCTTTTGGGACCCTGATGGGAGCTGTCCCCTGGAATGAGGGGAGGCAGGTCATGGCGGATGGGAGCTTTCTATCTCCTGGCCCTGCCATGTAGCTGTGGTGGTTCTGCTTGGTAAGTGTTCTTGACACCGAGCCTCAAGTCCATTTTCCTTCATGGTCATGTGTCATTTGCTGTGTTTTGCCTTATCATTGGTGTTTCCTTAAAAATAATAAGAGTAATGAGCAGTTATGTATTATTCATCCCAAATGTACAGATCACGCATTTATCTTGGGCTCCTTTTTTTTTTCCCCCCTAGAGCCTGCACTCGACAACGCATGCTGAGTGGATCATTTGAGGGGCAGCCTGCAAAGGAAAGGTCAATTCTCAGTGTGCAGCATCATATCCGCCAGGAGCGCAGGTAAATACACCAGGAGACAAAGCTGCAGAGAAAACAAGGAAAGGAGTTTTGCAGGAAATGGTCTCTGTGAACCACCCCGGTTGGCAGACAGGCGTGCAGGAGGAACTTTGTTCTATTTGCTGATGGCAACAATGAAACCCACAATCCGATTCAAAGAGTCAAAAAAAAAAAAAAATCTTTCAAAAACCTTTTCCTTGGTGATGGTCAGATTCTTACTTTTAAGATCAGAAGGGAAAATTCTGCAATTTGTGAGATGAGCTCAAAGGCATTTGAATAAACGAAAGCTTTCACTGCAAAAAGAAATAATAAGCATTTGTGATGGTATTGGAAATTTACTTTATTTTGTTCTTAAAACGGCCATGGCTCAAAAGTCAAAATTTGGTCTTGGATGTATTGACCAGCTGGTTGTGGTTGTTTTAGGTCACTGAGACACGGATCCAACAGCCAGAGGATCAGCAGGGGGAAATCTCTCGAAACCCTGACTCAAGATGTAAGTTCTCAGCAATGCTTTGGAGTTGGGAAGCATGATTATGAAAATGTATTTAAATTACAGTTTAGAACATTCTAGCACCTGGGACCTTCTGTCACATTGACCTGTCTCCGTAAGAATTTATATCAGAGGGAATCAGGAAACTCAGGAATCAAACAGAATGGCCAGTACCAAAGAGTGACCATTAACTGTTCAAAAATACAGACATCCCACAAAACATATCTTCATTAAGATAGTAACCCAAAAGTGACGTGTCACTTGCCTTTGACTGACATTAAAGGTATGTAAAGTATTTTATAGAATTGATTTGTATCATAACTTTAAACCTTTACTAAAATTTCAAAATATTCTGGAATCTAGTTCCAGTGTCTATAACTTCAGGGCTTTACCTACTAGGAAATGCAATCTTATTTCTAGAAGAATTTTTCTTTCAAAGACTGAATACTAGTTCCCAAGAATTTCTTTGCTTTTAGACTCTAGGTCATCTGTTGATTTATTAATGAACTAAAAAAAAAAAATTATCAAGTATTTATTATGTGCCAGACCCTGTTTGAAGTGAGGAGAAGCAGTGGGGAAACAAGACAAAATCTTCTGCCTTCCAGGAAGTTATATCCCAGTAAAAGAGACAAAGACTAAGCAAGGAAACAAATACATAATCATTTCTGGAAGTGTTTTTTTACTTATTTTCCATCATACCTTCACTGCTGTGACAGTTTTGCTCTGCATTATAAAGAAAAATAAAATGATGTGAAGAAATCAAAGGTGTAGATTTGGGGGCAGAGAATGTTCGAGAAGATCGTCAGTGTTCAGGCCTCTGTATTATTAGACCAGATACATGAACAAAGAGAAGAAGCAAGCCTCATGAAAACCCAGGGGAACCCACAGAGGCAGAAGTCTAACCTCTGGGTTAGACTCACCAGCAGCTGTATCATGCCGAGATTTCTAAGAGACTTGCAAAGCACATATCAAATAATTATCACTGGTGATGCCCTCATTAAAATATAGGTCTTAAGTAGAGTCTAGCTACACTGGCTAAGGAAGCCGAGTCCTGAATGTTCAGAGCCACGGATGGCATTGGAGAAAGGAGGTCTCACAAGGGAAAGGCAGCAAGCCTTAGGGTTTTTTGGGTTTTGTTTGTCTTTTCACCACTTTGCCTGTCCTTTCTTCAGTCTCTGGAGTTTCCAGAATAATCCAACTGCTTTCAATTGGTAGAAACTGTTAAAGTAGATTCTTGTAAGTATTCCAAGCACAACTGACAACAGGTGATGAGAACACCTGGTATCATCATCACCCACTTTGCAAGGTTCTAACTGGTGTGCACATCTGTTAACACCATGATTTTTAAGCCAGAGTTCTGCCTGGTATGATCTGCCATGTTGTTTACATAGAATTGTGATCAGATCCAACGTAGAGCCCATGTACACATAACCTGGGGGCCAGGAATGTTTCATGGAGAAAACTTCAAGAAGAAAATTCAGAGAGGAAACACTAGTTCAAAGCACTTTCCTTCAGTGTGATTCCCTAGAAATAAGTAGTCTGAAGAGCCAAACTAGAACGTGGCTTTGAAAATATATATTTAAATATACATGGCAAATGGTCCTACCTGCATAGTCTCAATTCCAGAGGCTTAGTTCTTCTTCAAAGATTTTTTCTTCTATTTATTACACAGACATGTAAAGAAAACAAATCCCCCACCTCCTCCATAGCAAGAGATGATGAGACTCTGCTAATTTCCTACAAAATAACTCTGGATGTCTTTTCCTGCATAACAGAAGCAATGTAAAATAGAGAGCTTTACCTATCTCACCCATTCCCAATGATAGAAGATACAGATAAGGAAATCTAAGGCATACTTGCGACAGTATCTGTCAGGTTATTTGAGCAATGGCTGTCCATGTCCCAGGCAGTGAGAACCAGAGCTGGGGTCCTGCATGATCAGGCCCCCTCCCAGCCCTCTGACCTCAATGTCTCCTACCCTGGTATTTGCCCTCTTGACTCTACCCATGGGGTGTCTTGGCTGTTCCATGGACACACAGCTGTTCCCTGCACATGAGGACCCACCCCTCCTCTGGAAAAGCACATTTCTGCCATTGCCCCATGGCCTGTAGATCCTTCTCTCATCTTCGCTCAAATAACAGCTTCTTATTGAGGCCTGCTGTGACTAGCCAAACATGGAACCTTCTAGCACTCTCTGTCCCCTTTGCTTTTTCTTTTATTCTTTTTTTTTTTTTTTTTACCATGGTCCTAAACATCTTCTATCTACATCGGTCATATTGTCATTCAGTTTTTATCTGCCTCCCCTGACTAGATCATCAGCCCCACAAGAGCTGGATTTTATCCTTTCTTTTTGCTTTTTTGCCACATCCCCAGCACTACAACGGTGCCTGGCACATAATTGGTCCTCAATAAATATTTTTATTGGAAAAAAAGATACCCTTTCGAAGGAAAAAATACCCTTGCTAAGATGACTGTGATCATTAAAAATACATATATTATGATAAAGATATTTATTTACTACCTTACATTAATAAATAAAGATATTTATTTCAGCTTTTCTAAAAACAATCTTTCTGGGCCTTCAAAAAAAACCTTCCACTTTGATGTGCCCCCTTTTATTGTATTTCTAGCATTCCAATACAGTGAGATATAGAAACGCACAACGAGAAGACAGTGAAATCAAGATGATCCAGGAAAAAAAGGAACAAGCAGAAATGAAAAGGTACAGGGCGCTACAGTCTTCCTGGGCTCTTGCTCTGGAATGCCAGCCTTTCCCTCAGCCTTCCTGTCTGTGGATTTCCCCTTCTAGGAAAGTGCAGGAAGAGGAGCTGAGAGAGAATCACCCCTACTTCGACAAGCCGCTGTTCATCGTTGGACGGGAGCACAGGTTCAGAAACTTCTGCCGGGTGGTGGTCCGGGCACGCTTCAACGCGTGAGTACATCCACTTCAGCCGGGTGTTGAACCTGCGTCGTACAAACAGCAGGGGTGTTGTCACACCAGGAAGAAGGAAACATGTAATCCTAATGGGGTCATGAGATAAACCGTGGGCTAATTAACCATGCTGCTCCTCTTGGCCCAGGGGCCGACCCAGTGGAAAACAAATGAAGGTTGCAAGTCATTAACATTTATATAAAACTCACGTTTATAAAACACCGAACAGTCATTTTTATGTGCCGATTTTAACAGCCACCCAGTATGTTTCTGTTGGTGTTACCAACTCCGCATTTTGTTTCGGAAATTCTGAACCAAGAGTGGACGGAATGACATAGGGAAGGTCATTGCCCACACCTTCTTTCAGACTTGTAGTTTCTTCGTGGTGAAAATACCTTGATTGGATTATTCTGGAATAATGTAAAATACAATGATGTAAAATAGAAGTAAAGTTGACTAGTGCTTCCATTACCAATTGTTATGAGAAGACAGCCCACTGGCCGGTGTCTCTGTCCCTGCCCACATGGAAGAGCTGTGTTATGAGGCCATCAGTGACCAGGAGGACACTGCATTTGTGACAACGCAAGGCAATGTCAGCAGGCAACCAGTGGGTGAAATAGAATTTTTGTCCTGCTTAACTTTTGTAAATATCCTGAAGACCTTAAGAGTCTTGGAGGAAGGGTGAAAGCTTTCCATCTAAATAGTTAGGTCTTCCCCAAGGCCATTATTAGCAGCGTATCATAATCACTGTATGTTATGGGCTGAACAGTGTGTGTCCCCCTGCCCCCAAAAATCACATACTGAAACCTTAACCCCTAGTACCTCAGAATGTGACTTTACTTGGAAATAGCCTCTTAAAGAGGTAATTAAATTAAAATGAGGTGATTAAGGTGGGCCCTAATCCAGTATGACTGTTGTCCTTATAAGAGAGGGACATTTGGACACAGACACTTACAGAGGGGAGACAACGTGAGGACATAGGGAGAAGACAGCCATCTACAAAGCAAGGAGGGAGACCTAGAACATGTCCTTCCCCCACGGCCCCCAGGAGGAACCAACCCTGCCCACACCTTCTGTTCAGACTTCTTGCCTCCAGAACTGAGAAAAAAATGTTTCTATTGTTTCGCTACTTGCTCTGTGCTACTTTGTTACAACAGCTCTAGGAAACTAATACAGTGTGGTGATATTCCAGGACTGAGGACACCTCAGGAACCATCTGGTGTCATTTGTATCCCCCTCCTCCAACAGAGGAGGACACTTAGGTCAGCAGTGGTTAAGGGCTTGGCGCAGGGACATGAGCTAGCTCATGACTCCCTCTGACTGGCTGTCTAGTGTTCCCTCAGATGTTCTAGCAAGACCCTCACCATGTAAAGCACCTGAGTCATAGTGATTCAAACTTCCCTGAGTTTTCACACAGTAAAGAAAGAAGCTGGTAGTTGAGAGTTGATTTGATCCTTTCCTCAAGTGAGTGTTTCATCTGTAATTAGCCTGTCGGCTGCCTCCACGCTAACACCTAACTGCTAATTCTCCACTTCATTTAGTGTGGACCTACTCCCTTTTGTCACCTCCGCAGCTGACGTGGACTGAGGGAGACTCTCTTGTGCTTGGGAGCACACACACACAGACCGCCACGGGCTCCCTGAAAGTGAAGCTTAGAACTGGGGCCCCAAGAAATTCCACATAAATCACTCCACAAGATCACGGTTAAAAGCAGGGGGAAAGCTCAATTTAATTTCTGGAGATTTACTTGAACAATCCTGAACTTTTTTCAAGAACTTTTTGAGGAAAGTTCTTGAAAGGCTAAGGCAGAGATTTTAACAGAGTGTTTTTAAATGGAAATCAAAGTTTTGTCACAACCATGTCAGAAACTGTTGACTGGATTCATGAATTCCCAAATCAAGTATTTTGAGAAATTTTAAACTTTACTCTCACAAACATCAAATTCTGATTTTTCTGTCATCTCATGTTCTCTGCCTTGGAAAGTCACACAGTTCCTGGAAATGTAATTATACAGAGGATATGAAAGAGATTTGAGGTAGATGAGATGTTTATAATACCGTACTGCCAAGTGAGAGCACACCTGCTATGTTGCCCAAGTTTCTGCGCGTTCTCTTACAGATCTAAAACAGATCCCGTCACAGGAGCCGTGAAGAATACCAAGTACCATCAGCTTTAGTAAGCATCACAAAGCCTGTTTTCCATGCGCTTTTGAAAGTTCCATGTACTATTTTATGCTGCATAAAAATGTAAAGATTCTTGTTATTTTCTTGCCATATCGTGCTAGGAAATAGACAATGGGGGATTTCGAAATTAATTCCAGTCACATGTATAGAATCACTGAAGGGTTTTCTGGGACCTGCATGGCCTTCCCTGAAGCGCCCCTTCCTCGTTGTGTTTGGTCTTTGGCAGTGATTTACTGGGATTGGTGACTTACCTGGACTGGGTCATGATCATCGTGACCATCTGTTCCTGCATTTCCATGATGTTTGAGTCCCCCTTTCGAAGAGTCATGCACGCCCCGACGTTGCAGGTACGGCTGCCACATCTCAGCCCATAGCTCAGCAGAAAACTCGGGGCTGCGGGTTTTTCCCTTCTTGGTGACCCGGCTGCGTCCTGCCCATTTCAGATTGCTGAGTACGTGTTTGTGATATTCATGAGCATCGAGCTGAATCTGAAGATTATGGCAGATGGCCTCTTTTTCACTCCAACTGCTGTCATCAGGGACTTTGGTGGAGTCATGGACATATTTATATATCTTGTAAGTCTCCGCTTATTTCCTAAATGTAAGATGTGTGGCTCTGAAAACTCTCCTGCCTTTTTCAGTACAAGAGAAAGATAGGCGAGTTCCAAAGGTTTAGATGTGATTACTGAGTAGTCTACCACTGGCAAGTGAAGGGCACTCAAGTAAAAATCTAAATGAGAAACATTCAAAATTTCCATGGATATGGTCACATACATCAATCACATTCTTGCACACATAAGATGTACATTAATAAGTCCTACGACAGAAATCTCATTTGCACCCCATGATCCTGTGGGACGAGAACAAACAAGCACACAGACAAACCTCCCTCTCTCATACAATTGATTGATGAGCTCCTCATTGCCAAAAGCAACCAAACATGGGAGGGATTGGACCTTTCTTTCAATTCCAGTATACGAAATACCTGACTAGACCAGGTGACCATTCAAGTCTTCAGTTAAACTAAATTGGGAAACCGGAGGAAGGAACTCAAAGAAATTTCATTTATTCCCTATGTCCAAGAAGGCATAAAGTCAATGTCTTTTCCAACAGAACAAGGAGGATTGTGACCACTGACATGCAGTATCTTTAGATCGTCCATAAAATAGTGAGAATCAGGTCAAGCATGAGGGTTGGTATCCATGATCAAAGGAATTTCAACCTGCATTTTGAGTGTGTAAGTTAAAATAAGGAGCAGAGTGCACTGGGGGTACACACACACACACACACACACACACAGTATGGTCACCCCTATGTCATGCCTGCGAACAGCTAACGACTTTCCTTGGGCGCCACTAGCAGGTGCAGATTGGGTTCCGAGCTCAGAGTTCAGAATTAAGAGATCGAATACATACCCAGTGAATGCTTGTCCTGTGGGCCATATGGAATCTCTCGCTCAAGGCCAGTTGTATGCACTTGGTTCTCAGTGTAGAGCGCGAAGGATAAATTGTATAAACTCTAGGAATTTTTCCCCTCACTAGGTGAGCTTGATATTTCTCTGCTGGATGCCCCAAAACGTGCCTGCCGAATCGGGAGCTCAGCTTCTAATGGTTCTCCGGTGCCTGAGACCTCTGCGGATATTCAAACTCGTGCCCCAGATGAGGAAAGTGGTTCGAGAACTTTTCAGCGGCTTCAAGGAAATTTTCTTGGTACGTGACGCTTGCCCGCTGCTTCCGGTTCACACATCCCGGGTCTGGAATGAAACTAAGGAGGGGGCACAGGGAGTCTGGCTGGCGGAGGGCTAAGTCTGCAGTGTTTATCGCCCGAGGACTGTAAAGGCACTGACGAAACACAGCACACACTCGGAACTTGACCCATGCATGCTCTGACTCGTTGGTACATCTAATTCAATGAACATTTTTAGTGAAACTATGATGAAAGGAAGAATACAAAAGGTCATACTTGCTAACACTTCCATTCCTAACTCGCGACCCTAATTTTTATTCTGGGTTGCAGTTTCCTTATCTAGAAATTAAAGATAAGACTCCACACCATCTACTTCACAAATAGTAGCCGTTAAGCCATTTGGGCTCCTTATTTTATTTTGCATGTCCCCAGTTTCTTACGGCATAGATTTTGCCTCTGATCTTTGGAGTGTTAACATAAAATGACTTAAAAAAAAATGTAACATATAGGTATACCTCACTTTAAGTAGCCTCAGGATACAGGAATGAATACTTGAAAATGGAGAGAAAACATTCTTTTTAGTTGGGCAACCCTGATTGAGGGTCTTCCAAGAGCAATGCTGCAGAAAAAAAAACGATGAGTTGGAAGCTCGTTGCTCCCAATCATTACAGAAGGATCCGTGCCTTACAAAGGAGTGATCAAAGGATTCTTTTTATTATTGATGAGTTCTGCTCGTGCATGGAAAACGTGAATTAATTTACATAAGTTTATTTTACATCTTGCTTTCTAAAGACGCACCTAGGGGGAGAGAACAGCTGTGGTTACAGTTGATTCTAGGGTATTTTAAAGACGGGTTGTGAGGTTTCCATAGGTACAGAGTCGCTAATATTTTTTAAAGACATATTTGAAATCCCACATTTTCTTTGTGCTAAAACCACAACACAGTGGCTTTTCACCCAGCTGGGACTGAAGGAAAAAAGGGTATTACCTGATATGCATGCATCTTGGAGCCGTGATAGAATTTAGCAAAGAATCTATTTGTTCTTTTCTCCTGATGATGTTTCTGTGTGATTTTAGTATATTTAAGGTGTATGTTTAGATGATTTGATTCACCCGCGGCCCAGATCAGTGGTTTTGTTCAGTGTTTTCCCCTTTGCCCCTTTCCTCTGCTGAGACCAAGACACCGTCCAGCAGAGGGAGCACCAGTCAATTAACAGACTTGCTTTTCAGGACCCAATGATCTCCCTCCTCTTGATGCCCTCACTGCTCACAAGAAAGCCAGACACTGTCTCTCTCTAATTTATGTTCTGCTGATAGAGACAGGAATCCATTTGGAGAAAATCGGGGAAAATCTAATTATTCAAACACTTTTCTTCGGTTTCATTACAGTGTCGATTCCAAAATCAGAAAAACCCAAGTCATATCAAAAATATTTTCTTACCTGAAAAAAAAAAATATTTTCTTACATGAAAGTCACATGTTTTTATTCCAAAATCCAAAAACTATTGTTAGTTCCCTCCTTTTAACATTCCAGCTGGGATAATTGTTAACGACCCGATGTGGAAAAGTTAGACGATACCCTGAATAGACCAAGGGTTTCATACTATGTTCTCTGAAAAGTCATGTCCCTATCCCTGCTCAGATCAAGCCTACTCTTGAATTCTTACCCAGAGATATGACATCTCACCAATTATTTTTCAGGTCTCCATCCTTTTGTTGACATTAATGCTAGTTTTTGCAAGCTTTGGAGTTCAGCTTTTTGCGGGAAAACTGGCCAAGTGCAATGATCCCAACATTATTAGAAGGGTAAGATACTGCTTTCTGTCTTTTGGGATTTAAATTGAGGTCATTCGCCACCTCTCGGGCAGTACATGCTGAGGCTACTTTGAGGACCCCTCATGAAACTGAGAATTCTCTTCCTGCCAACTCCTGCCTAAAGCGGGCACTGTGTCTCTTTTGGCTAGCACAGGTTTGTGGGATTAAAAGCACACCCCAGATTATTCTGCTCTCTCCTGCTATTCTGGTGTGAGCCTCTGTTGACGCCTGTGGCAACACCCACCCAAGATTCCAGATGCTTGTAGCTGTGAGTCTCAGACACTCTCCCTTTGGGTCTCCCCTAACTAAATTCTGCCTCTGTTGTGCCAGAAGACTCATATCAGCAAACGGCCCTGCAGAAAGGACAAGAGGCAAAGTCTGACTGTCATACACTGTTCAATGCTTCTCTGCTCCAGCTTTCTCTCCACTGGGAAGTCCAGAATCTTCCCCAGTAGGACAGCTATCAAAGACCCAAGCTTGACCCCTTCTGCCACTTCCCCTTGCTTTATCTTTGTTCAGTCAGTGTTAGTAAGAGGAAGCAGCTTTCTGGACAAGCCCAGTGTTTCAGTAGCTGAAAGTAATGAAATAAGCATGTTGCGTCTTGGGTCAGATGGACAGCTCTCCTCCAAAGGTCCTCTCGGAGACCCAAGTTCCTTTTGTCTTCCTTCTTTGTCTACCCTTGGCTGTCTTTGGAGTCTTCTCCATTTAGCTGGCAGATAGGAGCACAGAACCAACTCCATGTTTGAGGGTCACAGGCTGAGCCCTGAGGCAGCACACCTCACTTCTACTGGTGTCACTGGTGAGAGCCTGGCCTCCAAGGCCAGATGGGAGTATGTCGTAGGTAACTTGGCAACGGAGCCTGCGGAAAGACAGAACACATGTGGTTATAATTAGCCATCACTGCCACACTCTCCAACGCCCTTTCTCTTAGGATCCTGCCCTGGGGTACAAGTGGATTAAAAGAAGGAGCCACATACTGCTTATGTACAAACAACAAAAACATTTCCTCTTTCATCCTGGTGAAAGAATGCCTTACGTCCATTAAAATGCATGTGCCCGAAGGCTGAATAGAGCCTACATATAATACCTACTTCTCTATTTCCAGCAACTGTGGCTATCTCATAGAGATTTTTCATTGGTATAAAAATGTCTACATTTTCAAGGCCACTGATTATAAAAATGATTCTTTCTCGAATGGTTGTAAAATACAGGTCACATCTTTGTCCAGTCAAAATACATTATTGATTGTGTTACACCGAGGATTTCAGGAAGGGGAAGGGTGCAAGAGACACACTGGATGAGGCCCCACCTGCATCGCCAGAGGTTCCAGGAACTTCGATAAGCCTGAGAAGACAGAACATGGAACATGGTGTAAAGGTCATGGCGAACCAAAGTAGCCAACGAAGGGGGTGGTAAAGGGCTGATGCTTTCATTCCGATGCTCGAGTCAGGAAAGCAGTTTTGTTTTAGACTCACATGGAATGGAGGCCAGAAAGATGACAACATTTCAAGAGGAAGCCCAGAGGACATCTTGCCGGACTCAGTGTCTTAATAATGGCCTAAGCGTATCGTGATCTTACACTATCTACTCATACACACAACAAGCTAGAGATAGAGGAACAAAGGTTAAATAACTTGCCCAAGTTCACCCCAAAATAAGTAGGGAAGGTATGACTCATGTCTAGGCAGCCTGGTTCCATGGTCCATGCTTTTAACTAAGATGCCAGGACACCTCACCCCATCAAAGGAGGGCTCTCGCGGGCTCAGAAAGGCACCCTGGAAGGAACCATGAGGCCAAATACATCAGGGGGCTCTCTCTGATCCAGCACCACACAGCCAATAGGAATAATGTTGTAGGTGAATGTGTAAAGTTACTGTGAGACGATAAGTGCAATATATTTTAACTGACAGAGTAGCCTATGGAAGGGTCAAAACTGTGCCATCTCATACACACGCAGGGAAAAAAACTGGAAGGATATACGCCCAAAGGTCAACTGTGTTTGTCTTTGGGTTATGGTAGGTAAGTTTCTCCATGCCGTTGAAGTTAAAGCGGTATTACTTGTATAAGAGGGCTGTTGTTTTATGGGATGTCATTGGTAATCCAAAGGGAAATAATGTTGGTATTAACTAAACTGTTGGAAATAAGAATGGAAAGGAGGGGGGCGCCTGGGTGGCTCAGTGGGTTAAAGCCTCTGCCTTCAGCTCGGGTCATGATCCCAGGGTCCTGGGATCGAGCCCCGCGTCGGGCTCTCTGCTCGGCAGGGAGCCTGCTTCCCTTCCTCTCTCTCTGCCTGCCTCTCTGCCTACTTGTGATCTCTGTCTGTCAAATAAATAAATAAAATCTTAAAAAAAAAAAAAAGAATGGAAAGGAGGCCCAAGCAGAACAGGGGAAAGCTGTAGATGACTGAGATCTTTATGCCGGGGTTGACAAGGTACTAGTCCATGGACAAAAATGGGGAAGGTTGGAGGAAACAAGGTTGAAGGTGACTTTAGCAGATTAAAATTTGAAGTTCCATTGAAATAGTCAAGTGTATATCTGTTATACCCAGGAAAGGGGTGTAGGTTCAAAACATGAAAATCACAGCCAAAGAAAGACTCAAAGATAAGACAAAAAGAAGAATAAAGACAGAAAATGGGTGAAAAGCTTCTTACTCATGTTTTAAAATCTTCTAAAAACAATGCTATTAGAGATATAACTCACAGACTACAACATTTGCCCTTTGGCAGTTGCACAATTCAGTAGTTTCTAGCGTAGCCAGAGTTGCATAATAGTCAGTCTTAGAACATTTTTACCACCTCAAAATGAAACATTGTCTTTGAACTTCCCCCTCTCTTTATCCTTGTCCCCCTGATACTCCCATCCTCAAACGACCATGCACCTTCCCGTCCCTGTGAAGCTGTTCGCTTTGGACTTGTACATGCTTGCAGTCACATAACATGTGGTCATTAGTGGCTGGTTTCTTTCATTAGCACAGTGACTCCAAAGTGCCTCCACATTGTGGCCTGTGTCAGCCCTTCCTTCCTTTCTAGGGTTGAACAGTATTCCGTGACGGAGCTGCACCATGTTTTGTTTATGTTTTCATCCATTGATGAACACTTGGATCATTTCTACCTTCTGACCATCATAATTAAGCTACTTACAATAATAATGTCATAAACATTCATGGAACAGGTGTCCATGAAGATATCTGTGTTCATTTCTCTTGGGTAAAACCTAGGAATAGAATTGCTGGGTCCTTCAGTAAAGCTTTGTTCAGTCATTTGAGCACCTGCCACACTATTTTCCAAAGTGGTTGCACCATTTTCCCAACCCTCCAGCAGTGTGTGAGGCATGGGGGTATCAGGGGGATAAGGGGATACAGAGGATTCCAATTTCTGCACCTCCTTGTCGAAGCTCATTATCTGATGTTTTGCTTATAGCCTTCTTCCTGGATGGGAAGTGGTACCCCACTGAGGTTTATGATTTGCATTTCCTGGATGACTAATGACACGGAGCATCTTTCAATGTGCATATCGGCCAGTTGTATGTCTTCCTGAGAAGAAAGTCTGTTTGGATCCCCTGCCTACTTGTGAATGTTTTCAGTGCAAATTTACACTGCTCATCTCTGCAATCCTTGTCCCTGTTTGCTGGGGGGCTGTCCACATCCCTGTTGTCACATAAAAACCTTCCCATTCTAGGTTAAAAGTGTTTATCTTTGATCTTTTAGGAGTTCATTGTCTGACCAAGCTCCCTCTCTTTTTTTTCCCCCCTATTTTAGGAAGATTGTAATGGCATATTCAGAATTAATGTAAGTGTGTCCAAGAACTTAAATTTAAAACTAAGACCTGGAGAGAAAAAGCCTGGATTTTGGGTGCCCCGTGTTTGGTAAGCATAACTGAAAAGGATCCTAAAGAATATTATATTTGTCAGTATAAGGTTTTGAATCAATACAATATGGCATGAAAAGGAATTTTGCTAGAGGTGCCAAGATGATTTTAGGGAATACAAGGCAAAACACTAAATTACCACAAGATGCAAAAATACAGTAAATGAGCAAGGAAGTGGCACACTGAGTCCTGTGTTGCTTCAAGAAACTAATGGATTATCATCCCAGCATTTTTCTAATACTTTGAAGTATGTATCTCGATTCATATGGCATTAGAAATTAGTGAGGCTTAAAAGACAAAGATTTTCTATGAAATTAAAACTAAACTTGTCCTGCATTTATATCTTTAAGGGAGAATCTGATTACCTTGTAACAGTTGTAGAGAAGCCCAGATCATAAAGCTATTTCAATTTCAAAACCCATTTTCATTGAAGTATTTCCATTATGGAAACACTGGAAAGGAGTAATCAGGAACATGATTATATCTCACTTTCTCTTTAAAATTCATTTTTCTTGAAAATGAGTTTTCAAAGCATTTACATCAAAGCTGGAAATGCCCAGTACCTTCTTTCTCATCCAGTTTACTAATGACCATGAATGAAATCTCTCAGTAGACTTCGTTGATGAACCGAGTGTCCTATTAACTTCATTTGTCCTTTTAAGTAGTCATCTGTTTTCTTTTTATTTCATTGTACCTTTTGGAATAACAAGTGAACCATAGCCACGACTCTTTTTGTCACAATTGACTCTTTTTGTCACAATTGATGTGTTCTACTAAACGTCGAAACTCTCGCAAAGAAATTGCAGTTCACCCAGTTGTATCCTTAGGACTCACTGTTACCAGCTTTGGCATTTCTCTAATGTAAAATTCACTTTTATAAACAGTTCAGTACAATTTATACTGGGTTTTCATTTTTTTTAATACTGAAGATTATGGAAAAAAAAAGATGAATTTGGATGTGTGGCTTGACTTGGAGAGGGAAGTACATAGCACATGGCTATATATCCTTATCCCAGTACTTACTAGAAAAGCCATCTAATTTACATTAAAATAAAATATTAAAGAAGCATAAAGAGTTTATTTTTTGTAAGGTGAAAATGTCTTATTACACCATAAATAATTTATTCATATCAAGACATCAAATGAGATTTTTTTTTTCCTACTGTTTTGGAATTTTGGCAAAAGCCTCAAAGCTGAATTCATTAAGAGATAAAGTTCTATTACATTCTGAAGGGAGCAACATGCCGATCCCAGCAGCACTGACTAAAAGATTGTCCTCTTCCAGCTCTTATAAACCAAAACACTATGCTAAAAGACAGGGTCATGGAAGTGAATGAATTCAGTAGACAGCGCTGTGGCTTCTCTCCCTTCAGTGTGGGAGGAGGTCAGGAACACTTGTCTCCCCAGCCAATGGAGGTCCCCCATGGGGACTGGGTCATGTCAGAGATGGGGAAAGTGAGGGGAGGTGCTGGTCTAGGCAAGCTGCCCTTCACCAAATGACAGGGCAGGGTTATCAGGAGTTCCTGGAGGCCCTGAAGCATCACGGCCAGGGGCCACCTGATCTGCGCCATCTTGATGGAGCTCTGCTGCAAAGGGCTATGTGTTCCTATCAGAGGGGCTGTGGATAGGTTTCCAGGAATGAGAACTGAGGAATTACCAGAAGATGACCCTCAGCAGGAACAACAAAATGCAGCACCCTTATACAGGGGAATGTTTCAAAATATAGTGTATTAATAGAAAATTTAGGTATAGTAGAGCCAACTGATCAAGAGACAATTACCACTGAAGGGCTAGTTTGTTATTCATAGTTCCCAAGAGGATGGGCCATTGGGCGGACGGGGGGGAGTCACACAAGGAAGCACCAGGGTTAGTCATGGGCCACAGGGGAACCATGGACCAGAGGCTTTATTATGGTTTCCCTGATTTGGAATGGGTGAGTCAGGGCAAGCAGGCTTAGGATTGGCTCGATGAGGCACTTTGGTGGGCTCTGGGGCACGGGGGCTGTCCCCAGTGGTCTGGTGCCTGCCTGGTGGTTAGGGCAGGTGCACGGCGGGCTTGAGTGTGGAAGCCTGATAAAGGAGGTAGTTGGGTCTGCGGACTTTGGGTTGGTTGGTCTGAATTTGAAAAGCAAACCCTAAAAACAACTCCTCCCAAGGAGGTGGGAGGGTGAGGAGGAGGCTGGAGGTCAAGGCAGGGTGATTCAGGCATCATATTGAGTCATCCAGAGCAAAGTGTGTCCATCATAGGCATGTAGAAGAGATGTTGTGTTAAAGTATCAAGTTTACAGAAGGTAGGAACATGGCAGACAATACACTTCATGAGATGAACAGCTACTGGGACCAGAGCAGCCGTGGCTAGCATCTGCCCGTGTAAAATACATGCACTTGAACTCCATTTCTAAGTCATCACACCTCCATCTTGTAAGAATCAGATGGGGGACTTGAGGGGAGGAGGGAAGAGAGAGGCCAGAGCTCTCCTTCCCTCCTCAAGCCGCAGATCAGGGGGAGCGGTTAAGGAAGGAGTTCTTATACGTGTCATGAGATCAAAGGTTTGATGTAGAACGGAGTGGGCTTTCTAGAATGAGACTCATCTTCTATAACTAAAAGTGACCAAAAAGCTTTGGGATCTCCACGATGTCAGGAAGGGAGCTAGAACCTTCTGGAAGGCAGTGTTGGGAGAAAAGTAAACCTGTTCCCAACTGTACCCTCCAGTATTCAGCCTGTTCCATAAAACCAGCTACCTATGATTTTAAGGATTCGAATGAACTGACATGCATTGTTTCATATAAGTTATTACTAGGGGTTTCCTGTTGGACGGCATTTTAAAAGCATAAGCCGATAGACGGGGCATCCCTTGAACACCATTACAATAGGGCTGGCCCGTCTGTTCCTTGGGTTAGTTTTAGGGAAATAAAAATCTTCTGTCAAACGAATGTCAACCATAACCATGCTAATTTTCACATTTTCCTTCTTTAGTAAGCTCATCAAGAGTTATCAGCCGAAATGTTATAATTTTATATTGACAAATTTATGATTAAAAAAATAACTTCTATCTGGGGAATTAGCATTGGGGAATTCTTTGATAATTATAATTAAGAAGGGCATAAATATGCACTACCTAATTCAGGAGACAGTTGGGCTTCTCTATTCTGTGTTCAGATGAATACATTCATTTTATTCTGAATTACTCAGACTTGATGAGGTAAAAATTACCTTGGTAAAAAGTATAAAAAAAAAATATATATATATATATATATATGTATGTTATAAATACTGTGTGTTTTGTTTTAAGCAGAGGTTTAGGACATAGGAAAATGAAACACATCAGAGTAATATCAAAAATAAGTACTCAGTGGTTGTTTTTTTAAAGATTTTATTTATTTATTTCTTTGACAGAATGAGAGAGCACAAGCAGAGGGAGGGGCAGAGGGAGAGGGAGAAACAGATTCCCCACCAAGCAGGGACCCCGATATTGGGACTCCATCCCAGGACCCTGGAATCATGACCTGGGCCAAAGGCAGACGCTTAACCATCTGAGCCACCCAGGCGCCCCAGTCCTCAGTTTCAGTAAATGTATTTATTGAGTGCTAACTGATCTCCAGACAGTATTCTGTCACTGGAGGCAAGCTGTGGCCTCCAACCCCAGGAGCTTGAAGTGTCATGGAGAACAGAAATTAATACTACAAATAATGTAATGCAGTATGTTAAAGGCTTTGATGCTACGGAAGTAAGCCCCTGAGCTCACTGGAAGCTTACCTCGAGTTTACCCCCTCGGTAACTTTGTCATACCACGATACATTCTAGGCAGAAGAAGATCAGATTTCTGTAGAGGCTACAGCTCAAACAATTTGAGTATGTTCCTTAAGGAAAGACTATAAATCTACCTTACTTTTGTTTTTGTTTTTAAGATTTATCCCTTCATTTAAGAGAGAGAACGTGCGTGAGGAGGGGGAGAGGCAGAGGGAGAAGGAGACAAGCAGACTCCCCAAGCGGAGCCAGACGTGGGGCTCAGTCTCATGACCCATGAGACCGTAATGGAAGCTGAGATTAAGAGTGGGACACTAAACTGACTGAGCCATCCCGACACCCCTTCCTTACTTTTAAAACAGAAACATGATACTTCCAGGGTCTTGAAAGGGCCATTTTGGATGATGTCATTCCCCGCATTTTTCCACCCAAGGTCACAGGTTCAGCTCATCTCCTCCCAGGGACACAGTTCTTCCCAGAGGAGGAGCACTCTTCCTTATCACGACCTTGAGGCCTTGGAACACTTTTTACTGGGAGGAAGAAGATTAACGGAATTGTGAGGTTAGAACCCATGTCTTAGTTTTCTGAATTGGATAGACAAGATTATCATATTTTAAAAATAAACCAGAAAAGATTATATTTAAATAGGCTTCCAAATCAAGGAAGGACAACAGGAAAACGGACAACAATGGATTGTGTTTGGGATTTACTGAAGTTCTCTGTAGTTATAGGTAAAGTTTTAAACTTTCCAATTTTAGTAACATGAACAAAGCATAAACGAACATCTTGGATGATTAAAATGGATACTTATGTTTTTAATATGATGTATTCTTCCAACTATGTAAGTCTATGAGCCTCCATTTTCTTTTTCTTGGTTTAGCCTAAAAGTGTATTTTTTAACATATTCTAACTTCTAAAAGATGTGGAACATGAAAGTACTTAGGGTTGCTGCAAATTCAGCTAAAAAAGCACTTTCACATAAAGAAAATGGATGGGTAAGAAAGTTCAACATCAGATCTGAGAGCTGGCTTGCTTGGCTTAAAAAAAAAAAAAAGTCCTTATTCAAGAAAACTGTGGCATCTGCAGAATCCTTACGGCTTCTCTCTGCTGTAAAATGTATTAAATTTAATTGAAACCCCCAAAGGAAAGGAGTTTGGAAAATCCAAGAGAATATGCTTGTACTTTCATACTTAAAAAATATAAATCAGAATCCCAAAATAGGAATTTCTGAGTGGGGCTTTTGCATTATATGCAAAACATTTCTACCAATCAGCCATAAACCTTTAGGAGCAAGGCAATTTAGCTGTATGGTTTTATTTATTTAGTGTTTTTAAATATTTTTTTAAAAAACTTAGAAATGTACAATGCATGATTGTTTCTGTGATTTTAAAAATATATATAAAAGGTGATAGAAAATATTAACCCAGGTTTTCCCTAGAGTGTTGCCTCTTATGAAGGTTAAATTTTGATAAGTGAACTAGCAGGAAAAAGAAATGATCAAACTGTAATTTGGCTAGGCTTCTGTAGGCTTACTCTTCTTAGTAGTGCCAGGCCCAGTTCTCCACCAAATTCAGGAAATACAGTGGTAGTTATGATTTTCTGGTGCGTAGCTGTCTAGATCTTGTAATTACTTGCAGTAGTCTGATAAGGGGGAAAAAAGGAAAACACTGAAATCTTTCTACTGACGACAAGAATGTTAGCCAAGACCCATAGTGACTAAGGGAGATGTAGTATATAGAAAAGATCACTTTTGTTCATGGGAAGAAAAAAATAAAATGTCAGAAAAACAAAAAATGAACCATCCCCCTCTCTAAAAAAAGTCATAGTGGAGACAGAGTGTTTTAGAAATCAGGAATCAACTGTGTGTAGATAGCATACTGCAGTGCTGAGGTCTACAAGAAGTCTCTGTTGAGAACACCCAGAGGTAACGGGAGAAAAATCCCACTGGGAGAGAATGTTCTGGAAACATCTAGGCTACAAGCAAACACCTTTTTCCACTCAGTGACCTCTGAATGTGTCAGTACTTTACAGTGTGATATTCCCATGATGTCAAGAATTAAGGAAAGTGGCCAGATTCTATTCTTTTTGCACTTTCTGTATATATCAGGAATTATAATTTATACCTTTAGAACAGTTTTCATTTTAAAACTATTGCAAAATTCACACCCAGGGCACCTGGGTGGCTTAGTCAGTTGAGTCTCAGATTCTTGGTTCCAGCTCAGGTCATGATCTCATCAGGGTCATGAGATAGAGCCCCATGTCAGGCCCCACGCTCAGTGAGAAGTCTGCTTGAGATCCTCACTCCCTGTCTTTCTTTGCCCCCCCCCCCACCCCAAGTCTCTCTCTCTTTCTCTCTCTCTCTCTAAAATAAATAAATAAATCTTTAAAAAAAAAAAAAATTCACACCCAGACTCCAGGGCCCCTTTGTGAGAATCACCCACGTAGTTTGTAGCTAGAAAGTATGTTTCCAGCTTTTGGTATAATCAGGACGAGCCAGAAACGTCACAGAACGTCTGGAGCTCAAAGTTGAGTTATGTTGCCTTTTGTTGTCGCCCCCTAAGAATGCCCCATTACTACCTAATAATTCATTACATTTTAAGAAATTATGAGCCATTCATGCATTTTTATGATGGAGCAAATGAATGCAGTGGAACCCACCTTCCAAATGGTAAACATATCCTCTCCCACCCCCCCAACCCAGGACCCAGGGCCGGAAAGAGCTACAGGATATTTGCCCTAGGGTGCTTCTCCTCTGAAGTTCACAGCACATTCCTCTTTCTGACTTGCAGGGCAAATCCTCGGAATTTTAATTTCGACAATGTGGGAAATGCTATGCTGGCGTTGTTTGAAGTGCTCTCCCTGAAAGGCTGGGTGGAAGTGAGGGATGTTATTATTCATCGTGTGGGGCCGGTAAGCAAGCACATGGACTCCCTTGAATGCCCAACAGCTGCTTTCCTCTGCTTTGATGAATAACAGTATTTTTCATTTATACAGATGCATGGGATCTATATTCATGTTTTTGTATTCCTGGGCTGCATGATTGGACTGACCCTTTTTGTTGGAGTAGTTATTGCTAATTTCAATGAAAACAAGGTAAGCATCCTTGGTCTGAATACCGCCACGTTTACTCTGTTCTAGCCACTTCCTTGGAGCTCTCTTTTTCTCCCCACGGCGTGAAGTCGCATTCACCCGTGGTGTGACTGATGTAAATAATCTCTATAACTATTTTACAAGCTACCTCATCGCTGCCCTTCAGGCACGTTATTGAAGAGCGCGGAGCTCTGCTAAATTTCCCCTTTTGGTAATGGCGTCATTAATTCGCGGCCAACTGAAAGGCACATCTCCTATTGTTCAAACAGAAGGAGGTGCCACGAGTTAGGAAAATACAAGGCTGAACTCAGGCACGTGCGGATTGCAGGTGATATTACTTTCACACGATGTCAATTGGATGCTTCTTTGTAACTCCAGAGGTGAACTCAGCGTTTTGATGGGGTTGGGCGTGCAGTAGAAAATGTTCCATCCTAATTCACTGAATAAAAAGAAGATTTTCTAATTCAACAGAAAAACTTTACGTACTTTATGAACTCGGGAAGCATGCTGAGATCATAACAGCTCTAACGATCCGTACAAGATCTCCCAAATGGGAAAACACTGAGCATAGTTACCTGCCAAAAAGTGAGTTTGGGGGAGAGAGTTCGATGCCGTTCTTCTGGGCACGGCTGACATGCCCTCTGTTACATAAGGGCCGGTCTTCTGAGTCCTAATAATGGAGGTGCACACAGATTCTGAGCACTTACTCCGCACTCGGGTTTACATACACTGCTTTCAATTCTCACGACTCTGAAATGCACAGTGGAAGAGAAAACAGCTTACAGAGGTGGCATAACTCGTCTGGGGCTTTCAAGGCGTAGAAAACCCGGCGCCAGAATTCAGAAGTGGTGCTGACTCTGCAGAGTCAGACAGTCTTTCAGTTCAAGAGGGTAAAAATGGGGGCGCCTGGGTGGCTCAGTTGGTTAGGCAACCGCCTTTGGCTCAGGTCATGATCCTGGAGTCCCGGGATTGAGTCCCGTATTGGACTCCCTGCTCGGCGGGGAGTCTGCTTCTCCCTCTGACCTCTCCCCTTTCACGCCCATTTTCTCTCTCTCAAATAAATAAGTAAAATCTTGAAAAAGAAAAAAAGAGGGTTAAAATGGTGACCATTGCTCTGCAGTGAGTGAAAGCAGGATGTGCTTGCAGCCCCGTGCTGCTCCTGGGATTCGGGCCGGCACCGAACCACACACAGGCACATCGGAGCCCGTGGGCGAGGGCAGCTGCCCCTGGGACTGTATCATTCACGGCCCCCCAGGCCCCACATGCCTGGTTCCAGCTACTCAGTCAATCACCGCCTTTACGCGTGCGCTAAGGAGGACGTCATTTCCTCTTGTCTTTCAAAGGGTGGGACTCAAAAATGCCCACTTTGGGCCCTAACACTACTTCTGCCCACAGAAACATGGGATTTTAGAGTAAGAAAGAAGGATAGAGAGTGATCATATTGCCCAGCCCCCTATTTTACTGGTACACTTTCATAAATGAGTGTCTTTAAGCCCTACAGTGTGTTCAATTTCATACCATGCAAAAGGAGGAAGGTAGGTCTCTTTAGAGCCTTGTGCTGGAGCAGACATGGGGATTCCCGACTGAGAGCAGAAGCCAGTCAGTCCGTTAACAGAGAGCTTGGGCTCGGCTCGCCCAGAACACCATGCTAGCCCCTTGGAGCCGACATCTGGTTTCCGGAGAATCAGGTTCTGATTTCAGGAGAGTCAAACCAGCGACATAAATGCAGCAACATAAGATGTTCAACCCCTAGAGACAAATGTATAATCAATCACAGCCGTTGAACTTAGAGGATTGGCTGAAGTAAGCAGAGTATCAGGAGGCTGACTCCCTGCACTGGTTGTATTTCTGCTGAGGAAAGAAAGAAGCATCTTGGCTTGGGTAAGGGGAACGTGGCCACAAGCTCAAGTGGGTGCTTAGGGAAAGAGGAAAAATAGAAGAACTCATGTTAACAGATGTAACAAACTTGGTTATTTAATTGGACATCCAAATTTCTGAGTTATATGAACTATTCAGAAGAGATTTTTCTTTTCTTGTAAGCTTTTCTGAGGGAAGCATGTGAGCTGCTGTATAAGAGCATTTATTCCTTAACCATTCAGTCATTCAGCAGATTTCTTTGAGCATCTACTGGTCCAGACATGCTCTTGACTCTAGGGCCACAGGGAGCTAAACACACAAACTACACACTAAACACATCAAGATTTCTGCCCTCATTGAGCTCCCATTCTAATGGTCATACCCAAAAGTATGTAAGCAGATTTCCAAATATATAGACACTGGGGAAATATAAAGATATGAGAAATAAGGCAAGGTTTGGGGGCGATGTTTTCACAACTCAGAATTACACAAAATTATATCTTCCTTAGAAAATGGAACCCTGTCTGAAAAGTTCGAAGTAGGGGTGCCTGGGTGGCTCAGTGGGTTAAAGCCTCTGCCTTCGGCTCAGGTCATGATCCCAGGGTCCTGGGATCGAGCCCCGCATCAGGCTCCCTGCTCAATGGGGAGCCTGCTTCCCCCTCTCTCTCTCTGCCTGCCTCTCTGCCTACTTGTGATCTCTGTCTGTCAAATAAATAAATAAAATCTAAAAATAAATTTTAAAAATAAAAATAAAAACTTCAAAGTCTGTACTAGTAACATATGCATTTTTAATTTCTCCATTATAAAAGTTTGATTAATAAACTTAATTTCACAATGATAAACTTTCAGAGGTTTTCATATATTAATGATCAGATGATACCACCATGCTTATTATTTCTTTTGGATCATTTCAGAATTCAACTTTCTTAAAATAATTTGTTTTGTATAATAAAGGAATAATATCAATGTGTATTGCACCCAGAGAACCCAGAGTATTTGTTTGCTGTTAGTGAGAAAAATGGTTAGCAATACTAATATCAGAAAAATTAATTTAAAACAAATATCAGGGGCACCTGGGTGGCTCAGTCCTTAAGCATCTGCTTTGGGCTCGGGTCATTATCCCAGAGTCCTGGGATCCAGCCCTGTGTCGGTCTCCCTGCTCTGCAGGAAGCCTGCTTCTCCCTCTCCTTCTGCTGCTCCCTTGCTTGTGTTCCCTCTCTCGTTGTGTCTCTGTCACATAAATAAATAAAATCTTTTTAAATAAATAAATATAAACAAATAAAACAAATATCATTATTAGGATTAAACAGTGTAATTAAATAATTGCAAAAGAAACTAATCACTAGCAAAGTATAGAACTCCTGAACCATAAAATATATGAAGCAAAAACAAACCAAGTTATTTTAAAAAGCTAGCAAGTCCAAAGTCATAGTGAAAGATAATAACATATTTCTCTAAGAAATTCATAGACAGAAAAAATTATGAGATTTGATACAATAAAAACATTTGATCTATTGCACATAAAAAGAACCTTAACCCCAATAATTTTCAAGTATAAAAGTGTACCTCTATGAGGTCATAAATTAATAGTGGCCAAAAACTTGATAATGTACAGAATGCGTGATCTATAATAACAAAAAAAGATAACAAAATTCCCTCATAAGTTGAAGATGTTAAGACAACATTCTAAATAATTTATGAGTCACTGAGGAAATCAGAATAGAAAAACACAAGACATTTAGATAAAAATCATAGATGAAAGCTCACAAGATACAGATAAATCAGTAATTAGAGGGTATTTATGACTATATGTGTACATTCAAAAAATCAAAGATTAAATAGTAATATGTCAAATATCCAAATCAATACATTATAATAACAACAAAGTAAAATGGAAAAAAGTAATAAAGATAAGGGAAAAAATAATAATACAGAAAACAAAAATACTATAAAAGATTCAAGAATGACAAAAACAGATTCTTTAAAAAAAATTAAATTGATAAAGCTCTCTCAAAGTCGAGCATGAACAAAAAAAAGTGGAAAGGAACATAAACAAGCTATAGTGAGTCAAACAGGGTAGGTAATGATAAAGAGACAGAAAGTTAAACTTACAGAATAAAACTGAAAGCCCCAGGACAGATCGGTATATATAAAACAGAAGTAGCACAATAAATCCATGAAGATGAGACCATCAATAAATGACCCTAGAGTCACTGAGGGTCTAGATAGAAGAAACTAAACAGAGATCTCTTCCTTACAGCAAACTCAGAAAGGAATTCTAGGAGAGTGAAAGACCTACTTATGAAAAACCATTTTTCAACCATGTAGAATTTATTTTGACCCTATAAATCCCAGTTGTGGATTTCTTGACTTTCACTACAAAGTGGAATCCATAAAGAAAGAAATTTGTAGATTAGATTACTTTAAAATGAAGTTTCTGAGAGATAAGAGACATGATAAGCAAATTTTTTTTTAAAGCAAGCTAAGACTAAGAGGAAATACTTGCAACTCATATAACTGACAAAAGATTAATATCTAGAATATATCAAGAATTTCTACAAAACATCTAAAAGTAAATATCCAAATACAAAAATGAGCAAAGAATATGAACAGGCAATTCATATAGGAAGATACAGGAATCACTCCCCCATTTGCACATATAAAAAATGTTTCATCTCACTGGTATTAAAACTAAATTAGATACATTTTCCACCCATCATGGCCGAATTTAAATGTCTGATCATGTCAAGTATTGGCAAGAATATTTGGACATGAACACTTGGAGATGCTAGCAGCAAATTTTCTTGGTTACTCCTCTTTGGACAGCAACTTCACAATATCTGACAAACAAAAAGTTGCATAAATTCCTAAGCAATTCCTCTCCTAGAGATTTGCTATCAAGGAAGTCTCATAGATGTTTGCCATGAGACAGTACATGTGGGCTTACTGCAACATTTTCATAATACATAAACCTAAATTCTGATATGTTTGTACAGTGGGATACTCTGAGCAGTTAAAGCAATTAGGTCTAGTTTCTAGTTGTGCTGAACTATGCAAAACAGTGTTCAGTGAAGATAAAAACCAGCTGCATAAATAAGCACAGATTGAATACCATTTATAGAAATTTTTAAAATTCAAAACAAATATGTTCTTATGTACTGATAGATACACAAAGAGCAAAAGTCTGAAAACATGGTGAGGAGGACACACCCTTGAAGGATAGTTATTAGCTCCAAAGAAAGAAGGGAAGAATTGGGTGGGGGGGGGTGAGCTCTTTTCCCCCCAGTTCTTCCTTTATAATATAATATAATGAATGTCATGCAATATATATATATAATATATATACACACACACATATATATATATATATACACTCTAATATACACACATACACATAATAAAGAATATTTTATCTAATTTAGCCATTAATCACAGCATTAATTCTTCAAGATACAAATTCTGTGACTTCATACCACTTGAAAATAGTTTTGTGATTATATATATCAAAATAATTAAAAAAAAAAAAAGACGCACTCCCCTTAACAAGAAATAGCAGACTGACAAGTTACAATTTTGCCGCAGTGTTTCCCACAATGAAACGAAAGGAAACTAACCACTATTGGAGTGGGTATCCCTTTTGAAAATTTGATTGTGTAGAGAACCTTCTTTAGATTTTCCCAAACCTGAATATTATCCATGTTCAAAGATGCCAGTTGAAGGCCATCCTTTTGGGGACTCCTCTCAAGACCAAATTTGAGAATTCTGACCATGCCTACTGAGCCGTCAGGGTATTTGAAGAATATCTTTATTTCACACCCCCAAATTAGTCCTGTTGGTATCACCACCCCATTTGCGATGTCCTTGGTGTGGAGTAGACGACATAAGGCCTTTTTCTGCTTTCCTTTGTTTATTAAGGGGACAGCTCTGCTGACTGTAGATCAGAGAAGATGGGAAGATCTGAAGAGCCGACTGAAGATAGCACAGCCTCTTCATCTCCCACCTCGCCCGGGTATCAAAGATGCTCTGATTTTATTCATGTTGGGCACCAGTGTTCATGATTCCCCAGGAGTCTAAGATTTCAATTAAAATAATAATCGTGAGGCCACTAGGCGGTTGTGCATAAGTTAATACAGAAACAGGCTCCAAACTACAGATCTCTCCATAGGCTATTAAAATCAACCACCCAAAGGCTGTGCTTCAGTGCTCTCAGGATAAGCCCTAATGAAAAAATGAATTTTTAAATAAAATATATTTGTGCTTGCCTTTTAAACATATGAGTGAAATGTATTAAACTGGCAGAAATTGAATGATGCGGTTCTCCTTCCAATACAGACGGCGTCATGCACCGTCGTTTTAAATATTCAGAACCAGCCCTTCCTGCAAAACACCACACAATAAGATTGAACTATAGGAGAAAAAAAAAAGTAATGAGTTTTAAAAATGAGCATTAAAGGAAATGAAAGACAAGAAAGTAAATGTAACCTAGGTCTGAAATGCCCTTGCCTCAACCTCTCTTTTGCAGATAATGATGGATTTAGAGCTAAGATGTACGACATAACCCAGCATCCGTTCTTTAAGAGGACAATTGCCCTGCTTGTCCTGGCCCAGTCGGTGCTGTTGTCCGTCAAGGTACTTTTATTTCACGCTGAAACTCTGAGAAGGACTGGCTTGTTGGGTGCATCCAAGCATATCGCAAGGGGCCATATCCATCCGTAGTTTACATTTCTTGGTGGAAAAAAATGAAAATTCACAGTCATTTCTAATGAGAGAAAGAGGGGAGAGTCTTGATGGGTCTGATGGATGCAGACAAAGACCGGTGCACTGTTTCTCTTACAGTGGGACGTGGAGGACCCCGTGACGGTCCCTTTAGCAACCATGTCTGTTGTGTTCACCTTCATCTTCGTTCTGGAGGTACGGTAATGAGCCAGCGGGCTCAGGGGGCGGCAGTGGGTATCGCAAAGTAGAGCAGTGTCCTCCTTTGACAGCACCCACGGTCAGCTCTGTGTTCCATTGTTTTTGAAGTCTTTTTTTGGGAGAGGGTGGCACGCTCGTAGGATATTTTCTTTCTGGGGCTGTGGTGCTTCCCTTGAACAAAGATTTCACATTCTATTCCAGATTTGTCTAACAGCAGAAATTGCTAACTGCTGTTGATTGCTGTATCTGCAGGTTGACCTGTCTGGTTATAGGAGTTCAAACTTCTGTACTGAACTGCACAAACCACTGTAATTCAGGGACTCAGATCGCAATGTGGTGGACAAGGGGCCTGGCCCGGACAGGATTATTTTAATATATGATCTGTGTCATATCGCTTTCCAGCACAATCTTCTTTGAAATACAAGCAGATTCTTATTTCACCCTGTGCTTGTTGATGTTTCCCAAAATCTATGGTCTTTTACTCGAGGAAGAAAAACGTCCTGCTATCAGAACTAGTCATAAAACAAGGAGAGAAGAGCCTAGAGAATATAGATTTGTAACCTGCCCAGCTTTAAAATTTAGATAGATAAATCTACTTCTTTATCTCCGTATCTGTATCTATCTATGTATGTATCTATCTCTTGGTAATAAATTCTTGTCTTTGGTTCCTCCATCTTTTTAAAAAAGTGCCTCAAGTTCACACATTTAAACATTTACTGAACACTCAGCCTCTATATTCTGTCTTCCTTATCTTCCCCCAGGTTACGATGAAGATCATAGCAATGTCACCTGCCGGCTTCTGGCAAAGCAGACGAAACCGATACGACCTGCTGGTGACATCGCTTGGCGTGGTCTGGGTGGTACTTCACTTTGCCCTCCTGGTATGCGTGTAATTCATTTTTATTTTAGTTGATAACTTGGGTTCAGGTAACCCTGTTTCCAGTCTCAGTCTGCGTCAGCCTACCCTCAGGTGTCAGATTCACCTTCCTATATCCACCCTTGACCGTGACCGGCCCTTGGCCAAGCTTGTGCACACAACCCCCACACTCTTCACACACACAAAGTACGGCCCCTCAGAGTCCTAGAGTGTGTGAATCAGAAGAACCTTAAAGACCTCTGGTTTAACTCTCATTTTCCCAAAAGAAAACAGAGAGAGAGAGAACAGTGGAAACAGAGATTATGAGACCTGCCTAAATTCATATATGAGCTGGTATCAAAAGGCTCCAACCCAGTTTTCTGAGCCAAAGTGTAGCATCTATACCACTGTGTTCTACTCAGTATTTCACAGTGGGATTCTCAGGTACTTTTGCTGCCACATTTCCTACTGATATCCAGTTGCCGTCCCACTAAAGCATGTCATTCCCAGGGTCTATACCTGAGTTCTCACTAGTTTGCCTAAAATGCCTCCACCTTCCATGTAGTCTGAGCTCCTGCTCAAAATCTATATCCATGGGGGTGCTTGACTGAGATCTAAGACTGTGTTTTCCAATAAGAACAAAATGTGGCCACAGATAAAATTTCAAATTTTCTAGGAGCCACATTAAAAAAATAAAAAGGAAACTGATGATATGAACTTAATAAGGCACGTTAACCTGCCATATCCAAAATATTATCATTTTAACATGGCAGCAATATAAAAATCATTATTACATCATTTGTTTGGTATTAAATCTTTGCGTGTGTATTTCACATTCATAGCACATCTTCATTGAAACCCACCGCATTTCAAGTGTTCAGTAACCACATGTGGCTGGTGCCGTACTGGACAGCAAAGCTCCAGAAGCCCCTTCTCTGGGCTCCACCATTTTCCAGCCTTGATAGGGTTATTTGTCTTCAGTGACCCTTCGTTCCCTGCTCTGAACTTGGGGGTACAACTTCATAATTTATCCATTCCGTATGAGTACTATAGAGATCAAGCACATGAAGTTCTTCTAACTATAAAGAGTATACAAACCTATAACACAAGGTATTACAAGTACCTTCTTTTTAGTTATTCTTTGACTCCAGACAAAAGTAATATTATCAGATTTCCCTGCTCTCTTCTATCCATTCTCCAATCCTCTCCAATGTTAGAATCACGCCACAAACAAGGCATCACACACAGTACCCATTTACACATTACAGAGGACATGCTTTCGTATGAAATTGCTCTGTTCAGGCAGGTAGGTATTGAGTGTCCTTCTTAAAACAACAATTACCTTCAACATCAAGGACTGTGCCAAGCCTCCATGGGTTTTCAGTCACCCTGATTCATTTCCCCCAATGACAAATGGTTTGCAGCAGTAAAGATGGGCAGTCACCATGCTGGGAATGGAGAAGAAGGCATCTTCTGCCCTTGTGGGCATCACAGCTTGGGAAGTTGGTGATTTGTTTTATTTTAAAGTTTTAAGCCAGAATATTTAGTCACGATCCAAGAAGCTGGGGGGACTTTGGGACAACTGTAGGTAGGCATTCATGGGAATACTCCCAAGTCAGTAAGAGTTACAACCATAGTGAGGCAGATGGAGGAGAGACACACATTCCTGGGATGACACAAAGCAGTGGGAGGTGGCTTCGTCAGAGAGATCCTGGAAGTGTCCTTGTGGAAGTGATGGCAGGGTTTAGTCTGTAGGACGAGGGGCATGCCAGCAGCTGTCCATATGATGGAATGCTATGGGAGGGAAATCGTGCCTGGAGTAGAAGGAGCAAGGGGAACATGGCGCAAGATCTGGATGGCACCTCTCAGGAGCAGGCCAAGGATGAGGGTCTTCCTCCCAGAAGCCATTGGGTGTCATCACTTCCAGAATGCAAAGTGGGAAGCCATCTATAACAGATTTGGAACTAATGTGGAAAGGGGCATCAAGGTCCATGTTTTTATCTTTCCCTAGACAAATGGATTCAAAAGCTACTTGGTCCAAGCAGAAGAGTAGAATAGGCTTCCTAATTCTGGATATCCCAGAGAGGACATCTTACACCGAAAAGACCAACTTGCCTGTTCTCCCTGAATGCTTTTGTTCTCCTCCAAGAACGTCCAGTTCTGGAAGGATGCTCATCCTCCACTCTCTTTTGCTGTCTATTGTGAAGGAAGATGCAGTCCTTGTTCCCATCCAAAGTTATTTTTGTGCAGACATACTCATTTCCTTCTCCTCAAAGATATCACTGGACCCCCTTCCGAAGGGCCCATATGGGACTGTTGTCACTTGGCTAGGCAAGGCTCCTCAAGAAAAATCATGCTTTGGCATGAGTTTAATGCCACAGTTGTTACATTGCGGTTCTAGCCGACGGGATCTTTGTTTCCGAGATGAAGCTTTCTTAGTCATAAAGCACACCCAGTCATCTCTTGCTACTGATCACACACTTGAAGAATGAGCGGGACGTGTTTCTGGACAGGGTAGACATCTCTGAAGTCAGCTTACAGGAATGTGGCCAGCTGGTCTTCAGAGTCTTGAGGGACCTTCAGAGAGGAGAAAGCTGACCTCCCGCCATCTTTTCCAACACCACACCTCCCCCTTTGCCAGGATTCCTGCACTTCCGGTCTCACTTGGCTTCCTCATGTTGCATTGTTACCCTGTTTTTCTTGCTCCTCAAAGGAGCTGGTCATGATTTTATGTAAGATAAGCTTCAAAATACAGAATTCAGCTGAGCAAAACAAGGAGCGAAGTTTCATTTAAGATTTGATTTTATAGCTAATATTTATTCATGAGTTTTGGCAGTGACCTTTTCAGCACCTTTTAAAGATAAATTTCTTATAAGAATTTTCACATTTTATTAAGCTAATTACTCAGTAGACTTCACAGAAGACTTAAAATGAAAACAAGATCTTTTGCACACATTACGAGCGGCTCTTTTCGGTTTAAATTTCAGAACGCATATACCTACATGATGGGTGCCTGTGTGATTGTCTTCCGGTTTTTCTCTATCTGTGGAAAGCATGTGAGTACGTTGTAAAGGATACTATCAAAGGTTACGTATGCACAGAAAAAAGGAGCGAAGCCTAATTGACTTCAGCTGTCCTTCTGGGTCTTAAGGGTTGAAGTTTACTTGGGATTCTGGTCATCCCAAGTCCAAATGAGCAAATATCAAATTTTTAAATGAATCAGTAGTTTAGTTATCTTGTAATATGTTTCCTGACATTTGTGCTACTTATTTATTCTTCATATTTACTGGATGAACTCATTCATCAACTGAAGATAACATATTGGGCATGAAAGCAAAAACCAATGGTCTTAATACCTCTATTTTATTGTTTTTATTTGTAACAGAGTTACTTTACTGCAAAGAAAAACAGTCTTTAATGAAGCTTCATGGTTCTATGATCCTAGATTTCTTTATATTCTTTTTCTTGTTCATGCATACACTCGGCATCTAATTTTCATTTTTTAAAGTTGCTTCCTTTTTCATTACTGAAATTTTTTCATATACATTCCATAAATGCCCATATTCGGTACATTCAGTGTTTGATGCCATTTAGCATTTTGTTATTGTTTAGGCTTTTTTCTGTGAACATCTGTTTGTGGAAGAATCCTGAGGCAACTCAGGGGGAGAGGCCAAAAATGGACAGCCCTCCTCACAGAGACTTCGGCAGCAAGAGAAGTGAAAATGGAAAGCTAGAAATTTTAGAGGAAGAGCTTTTATGAATTTGGCTGTAAAGGCTGAACAGTTTCAAATACAAGTTGAATTTCTCTCTAGTGTTTTTTTGAATAATAATAAGATTTAATACCCTTTAATAAGAATTAATTCAAAGCAGTTGTCAGATGAGGGTCACTCTTTTTTTTTTTTAAGATTTTATTTATTTATTTGACAGACAGATCACAAGTAGGCAGAGAGGCAGAGAAAGAGAGAGAGGAAGCAGGCTCCCTGCTGAGCAAAGAGCCCGATGCGGGGCTCGATCCCAGGACCCTGGGATCATGACCTGAGCTGAAGGCAGAGGCTTTAACCCACTGAGCCACTCAGGTGCCCCATGAGGGTACTCTTGTGCCAAGCTGCGTACCTGTCATTCACGTCGCAGTTTCGCCCCATTAAGTGAATTAAATATTCGTTTTCTCCTCCCCACCTGCACCTCCATACAGGTGACGCTGAAGATGCTGCTCCTGACGGTGGTCGTCAGCATGTATAAGAGCTTCTTCATCATCGTAGGGATGTTCTTACTGCTCTTGTGTTACGCTTTTGCCGGAGTTGTTTTATTTGGCACTGTGAAATACGGAGAGAACATTAACAGGTGGGTGTTTATTTTTCTTTTTAGTCATTTATCAAGCAAACTTTTTTAGTCACGAAGTCATGACTAACAATCTGAATGTCTATTAAAGACGAAAGGGAAGGGGAAGCGATCAGTTGGAAATGAAAACGAAATAAAATGATCACATGTTAAATGACATTTTTCTAATTAAAAACAGCCCACATATTGACTTTAGAAGTCTTATTGCCATAATATGCCCATAATGTAACACGAATCCATAATTCCACACCTACTGCCATGCAGGAATAACCACTTCGAATATCCTGGTGAATTTCTATCCATCTACTGCCAAAAAACAATCTATTCTTTTTTTAATTACACTTTAAGATGACTCTGGGTTTTCCTTTTTTTTTTTTTTTTCTTTTTCTTTTTTTTTAAAGCACCACATGGGAAGTCATAATTCCCAAAATGGTTACAATGTAGGAAAAGCATTTTTCGAAGATTATCTTAAATTTTGTGGAAGCGCCGCACAGATTTTTTTTAAAAAAGTAATTATACATCAAATTAAATGCCAGTGTGCCTTGTTGCAGAGATTACTTATTTGATCCACGCAGCTTCAGTTTTTATAGCAAACTCTATGTGAAAGAATCACTTTCACTTGTCAAAGCTGGGACCCTCAGTCATTCAAGATGCCTGGCCAGAACTGGTGTCGCCTGCGGGATTGGGTTTTTGGACAGCTATCCTTGAGGGCAAGAGTGAGTAGCAAACACATTATGAGGGTACAGCCTTTACACATGGTAACTTAGCAGCCAAATTTGCTCCACAATCTACCTGTTTTAGTGGTGATGCCTTACAACTTCGTGACAAACTCTATTACCCATTTTCTGGTTTTTCTTCTTTAATTAGGCATGCCAACTTTTCTTCAGCGGGAAAAGCCATCACGGTACTCTTCCGAATTGTCACAGGCGAAGACTGGAATAAGATTATGCATGACTGTATGGTAAACGTCTCTTCACCCCCAACAGTGCCTCAGCTTAGAACCAAATGAAACCCTTTGCTATGAGACATTGGCAAGCGTCATCCTCGTTAGCATCAAGACTTTGTGTACAAAACACATAGCCTGGCCATTTAGTTCATTCAAGTGCATTGTTTTCCATTATAATGTCTGGCCAGAGGCAGGAAAAATATCCAGGGAAGCCAGCTTGAGCTATCATAGCTCATTTGGCAAATGCACGTTCTGTGGGCATTGTTCCCTCCCTCCCACCTTTAACATTTTGGCCGTCAAGGACAACCAGGGGAGTTCCGCTTCTTTAACTGAATTTACTCAACAGATTTTCACCAAGGGCCTGGTTTATACTGAGCCATGCGCTCGGTGCTAGGTCTCCCGTGATTCCAGGGAGAGCCTAAGGAGATCCCAGCCAGGGTCACACCCTCCCTTTGGTTCCTCTCTCCTCCTCGCTGTCCCTCCTGTCTCCCATACAACTTCGGCTCCATCAGGCCCCACGCTGACTGCGGGATATGTTCCTGCAGCACTCTGTGTTTCTCCTTTGTAGCGTGTATCCCAGCTGTAGTGAGTTACCGGCTTGATTATTTCATCTCTGTTTCCTCTCTCACAACCTCGAGAGCAAAAACTGTTCAAAAGAAATTTCTGCAGTGCAGATGGCAATCAGCTCTGTCCCACTCAGTAGCCCTCTGTGGGTTCTGAGCACTTGAAATGTGACCAGTGCGCGCCCGAGCAACTGAATTCTAAATTTTATCTAAGGCTATTGGATGTTCATTAATATACATTTACATTTTGATAGCCACACTCAGTCCGTGGCTCCCTAGAGCTCCAGACTGTCAGCAACATGAAGAGTCTGTGTCTCGCTTAGACGTGTCTGTCTCCAGCCCTGGGTAGAAATCTAGCACACAGTAGGAGCTTAAGAACTCTGCCTGAATGAAGGGGGACAGAATTTACCGAATCAGATATAATATAAGGCAGAATTAAATAAGTTCTAAATAAAGAACAAGCAGAGTGCTGAGGGGATGTAGTGTCTCCAGCAGAAAGAAACCAGGTCTTTCAGAGGTGTTGCCTTTTTATTGGGCCACTGAGGACATGAAGACTTTTGATAACCTGAGCCTTGCACTCTTCTGTCATGTCCCAGAAAGGTGCTCCAGGAATGAGGATTCCTGGTTTCTTCTTACACAATTTGAATGTGAGTCTGTTTCGTGTAACAAATCTTCATAAATCTTGACCCATTCATTAGGTCAGACACGTTTTTTAAATGCATTTTTATTTGACTTTCTGTAGTTCCCATCACAGTGACTATTTACCATTCAGGACTAGAAGAGGAGGCAGAAAGAAGGTCTCATGGAAGAATCAGGTTCATTTTCATAGCGCTTCTAAAATGGCAATGAACTTGGGATTCTCCGAGACTGGAAGTGGAGAATAAATGAAATAGTCTTTTTGATTTTTGGCGCAGATGATGTACTCAATGTATGTAGCTTCTGAGAGACTAGCTTTGAAATTAATGATATTTTCTGTGCGGAGGAATCGTTCCCTCACAACAGCGGGCGCACAGAAATCTGTATTCTTCACGCTCACCCCATCCCCCTTCTTGTCCCCGTTGGCCATGTAGGTCCAGCCTCCCTTTTGCACTCCAGATGAATTCACATACTGGGCAACAGACTGTGGAAATTATGCTGGGGCGCTTATGTATTTCTGTTCATTTTATGTCATCATTGCCTACATCATGCTAAATCTGCTTGTAGGTAAGTAATGTTCGTTGAATGTGTTTTAATATCTTTAAGCTCAGGTACTTAGATAATTATGTACAATTTGCAAGTAATTATCCCAGATTGCTTGGGGTGGGTGTTTCACGGCATTAATTATAAATTGTTGCCTCTCGATCCAGATGCTGAAAAGACCTTTGAAAGGCATGTAAATGACAGTTGATTGCAATTTCAAGAGTTGTCCTATTAATTATGATCATTAATTTCAAAAGAGCTCTTCTCACACGTTGAGTTGAACAAATCTCAGGGAGGGCTACCTTTATGGCCTCGAAAGATCACAGTTATATTTTTTGAAAGATACATGGTGTTCCCCAGGTGTGGGGCCACCCAGAACCCAACCTGACCTTTAAAAACTACCCTGGAACCGTCAACTAAGAGTGAAAGCCAACTGGCATGGCTATCGCTACACACAGAATGTCTGTTTATGCTCATGACCCTCATGTTTTGGAAAGGCACGAGCCGGATAAATAGCTTAGTCCAAGTGTAAAATATGCCAACTTGGAAAACAAACTAAAAACACTTTAAAAATTTGGCTTATAATGTAGGTGATAAAATCCATTATTTATAATAGATGTTTTACTCTTTCTAAAAAATGACAGATTAGCATAATTATCTCACTTCTTCACTTTTTTTTTTCTTTTCTTAGCCATCATTGTGGAGAATTTCTCCTTGTTTTATTCCACAGAGGAGGATCAGCTTCTAAGTTATAACGATCTTCGCCACTTTCAAATCATATGGAATATGGTGGATGATAAACGAGAGGTAGGAAAGGGGGCTGCTGCTTTGTGCCCAACCCAGAGAGACTCATTGAGAGAGCATGAAGACCACAGACCACAGACCCTCAACTATTTAACTAGTCTTTTTGTCACCAGTGGACATCTATTGAATTTGGAATGGCCATTGGCAAATTGTAGAAAGCCACCATTGACCATTCAGCAGAATATGCTGGGAGGGGAGAGGGGCAGAATGGTCCCCTTCATGTCCAACCACGGGTGTCTTTTTCTTTGGACATTCAGAAAGTCACCAAGGAAAGGAAACCAAGGAAGCTCTGAAGAAACCAGCCCTGGGCTGGGAGCAGGAGAAGGGGTGAAGTTCAAATCACCAGAGCAATGGGGTAACACTGAGGCAGAGCCAGCCACCGAGAGCAGTCTTGATTAGAATTGCAATGGAGTTATTGAGTGGTTTCTGAAAGTTATTGGTTTTAATTATTTGGGACTTATTATTTGAATTCTTGAATCATAAAGCTTACCCAGGATTTCCTAGAATTAGCTAAAGCAGCAGCATCTTCTCCTGTTGTGCCTTCCTCCTCCTTCATCTCAGCAAACACTCGGGTACTGGGTATATAGCAATGAGCACAATGGAAAGGCCCCATGCTCACAGAGCTTCTGTTCTAATCATAAGTGAAACAATAATTATAATTATTATTATTATCTCAAGAAGCTATAAGTATTTTGCAAAAAGTACTAGAGTAGAGATGGGTTAGCCTGGGGGACAGGCCACTTTAGTGGGGTGGCCACGTCGGTCTGGCTGGAGAGGTACTGTTAGACCCGACCTCTGAAAACCAAGGAAAGTTCTTCTGTGGGAAAATCTGGGGGGGAAATCCTAATATTGCTGCAGGAAGAGTTCACAGAAGGCATGAAGACCACAGACCAGAAAAGGCTGGGGAAAGGGGCATGCCGAGCTAGGCTCTCACGGTAATGCCTGGCTTTCCCCTCCCCCACTGTCACCCTTTCCCTGATGCCCCCCACTTCCCCAGGCACCAGGCTCAGGGGGCTTTCTTTGAGACAGTGGCCTGCCTGTGTGGCCATCTGGCCTTGCTGTCCCGTCTCCCCTCGATCCCCCTGCAGCTCCAAGATGGCTGCCTGCCGGAACCCGACTTCCTTGGACATACGTGTCATTAAGAGCCCACTGGTCACAGGTTAAGGTGTCAGTAACTGACAGGATTTGATGGGCCACCCCACCCCTGCCTCTTGCCCAGGGCCTGAGTTCACAGACACTAGGTGGGGTTGCCTGTAAGGGAGCAACACGTGTTCGATTTTCAGAACCTAGAGCTGCTCTGACGTGGTTCTCTTGTCTGTCATTGTTCGAATAATGGAGAAGACCTGAACAAGAGTGATCATTCCCCAGAAGAACCACTTAGAATCAATGTTTGGAAGTTTGTGGCATCCAGGCGAATTGGAGGGGAGGATTGTGGACACAGGAATGTTCTGCTTTTCTGTGATAACTCATTACCAACCCACTCAGCATGTGTTTTAGAGAAACAAATGAGCTGGGGCTGAGTCAGTGAAATGGCCAGGAGAAGAGGAGCCTGACAAAGCAAGGGCTGAGGCCAGGGAGGCAGAGAACCTGCTTTGTACCCTCGTAGGCTCCCAATGCTGCCAGCTTCCGAGATCCCACAGAACCGGAGAAACACCAGCAGAAGATCCAAGTGCTCCCCCTTCCCACCCATCCCCTCACCCAGCCTCCATGGAGGCCAACAACTTCCTTGCTGCCCCTCTTTTGAGAAAAATAGATGGTGTTCTGGGTGGGTTTTTTTGTTTTGGGGTTTTGTTTTGTTTTGTTTCTGAAAACTGAATCCCAAGAGAATCATTATGGCCTGAAGATGATTTACCCAGTCACTGTGTTCTGCCCACCAGGGTGTGATTCCGACTTTCCGGGTCAAGTTCCTGCTGAGGCTGCTGCGGGGGAGGTTGGAGGTGGATCTGGACAAAGACAAGCTCCTATTTAAGCACATGTGCTACGAAATGGAGAGGCTGCATAACGGTGGTGACGTCACTTTCCACGACGTCCTCAGGTATGAGGGGGTCTTCCCAACCGCATGTCACAGAGCCCACCCGAGCCCAGAACCTGAAGCTGTGGCCGTACAAGGCCTTGTGAAACACAGCCAACAAGGATGCTCACAAGCCCAGATGGCACATCACTGAGGGGATAAGGCAAGGCCACACAGCTCAGGCTCCAAGGGGCCTTTAAGGACCCTGTCTGAGTGAGTGTCTCACACAGGAGTGGGGAGAAGCAGTGGCCTGATGTCCCCAGAAGTGCCCCTTACTGACTAGGGAGCTTCTGACAGGGAGAGGTAGGGAGAGAGATGATGGGGCCTTGGGGAACATGGCTGCCCTTCGTTTTGTGAGGAAGGAGCTGTTCGGAGAGTTGTGTGACTTGCTTGGTCACGCAGCCTCCATGGTCAAGCTGGGGCTAGGGTGCAGATCTTCTCACTCGTGGGGCCGTTCATGATGGTTGACCCCGCTTGGATGGGCAACCACATTTTCCATTCCAGGAATACCCAGACAGGACCAAGTGAACAAAATACCATAAACTTAGCGGTTTAAACTAGTGTATTGTCTCATAGTCCTGGAGGCTGAAGTTCGAATTCAGGGGGTCGGCAGGGCTCGTTCCTTCTGAGGATGCGAGGGGGAATCTGCTCCAGCTTCTGGGGCTTTGCGGGCCATCGTCATAGAAACCTCACCCCAATCTCTGCCTCCGTCTTCATGTGCGGTTCTCCCTATATGCACGTGTGTGTGTGTGTGTGTGCACGTGTGTCCAAATCTCCCCTTTCATAAGGATACCATTTAGATTTGATTAGGGGACCATCCCTTTCCGATACGACCTCACCTTAACCCATTACATCTGCAGTGACCTATTTCTGAAAAAGATCACATTTTGAGGTACTGGGGGTTATGATTCCAACATCCATTTTTTTAGGGGGAAAACAACCCACAACTGCTTTTTAAACAGGAATCCATGGATAAAATCCAGAGCTCCATGGACTTGGAAACAATCACATCTTTGTTTTCATGAATCATTCCCTGAAATGCAGCATTTTCTTCAGTGATGAACGCAGGCAACAAAACACCGCCGTATTAACAATACGTGCATCGGGGCGCCTGGGTGGCTCAGTGGGTTAAAGCCTCTGTCTTTGGCTCAGGTCATGGTTCCAGGGTCCTGGGATTGAGCCCTGCATCGGGTTCCCTGCTCAGCAGGAAACCTGCTTCCCTTCCTCCCTCTCTGCCTGCCTCTCTGCCTACTTGTGATCTCTGTCAAATAAATAAATAAAATCTTAAAAAAAAAAAAAATACGTGCATCTTCGTCCCCAGCAGAGATCACTGATATTTCCAGAGCACATCACTGATGTGGCTGATAGCTTAAATACCCTTTACACTTCCTTCTGCAGTAGAGTGGTCATTCGACCTCAGCTAGATGTTAGCATTTAATGCAATAATAAAGAAGCACTTATGTTACTGTGTCACCATCTTGTTCATTTTCCTTGTTAATTAATTTTACTTCTGTTTTTATTCAAGTAGGGTTGACACACAATATTACATGGGTTTCAGGTGTACAACACAGCGACTCAACAACTTTGTTATGCTGTGCTCACGGCAAGAGTAGGTAACACCAGTCACCAAACAACATGATTACAACATCATTGGCCCTATTCCCCATGCTATACTTTTCATCCCCATGACTTACCCATCCAATGCTAGAAGCCTGTACCTCCCACTCCCCTCCATCCTTTTTGTCTAGCCCCTTAGAATCCCCCTTCCCCAGCAACCACCAATTTGCTATCTGTATTTATGGGTCTGTCCCTGCCTTGTTTGTTTTATTTTTTAGATTCCACAGGTAAGTGAAATCACATGGTATCTGTCTTCCTCTGTCTGGCTTATCTCACTTAGCATTATACCCTCTAGGTCCATTCGTGTTGTCACAAATGGCAAGACCTCGTTCTTCTTTTATGGCTGAGAACTATCCCAGTGTACATAGACTATACCTTCTTTACCCATTCTAGCATCATCTTCTTAAAGAAAATATGAGAACTGTATTTCAACGCAGTTGGTTTCCTTTGGAATCATATGTATTTTATTTTATGCATTTTAAACGATCTTCTATGGAAAGTCCCATAGGCTCTGCTCTCAAAGAGGTGCAGCCACAGGAAGCGTCAAGGCCCCCCTCCAGCAGGAGCTATTCTCACCCCATTGCACGTACTTGACAGGTTAAGTGTTGGGGGTGCTGGCACACATTCAGCCGCTCAGATACACAGAAATACGCTTGTGACTGAAACTTGAAAAAAAGATCAAAACAGGAAGGACCAGGGAGAAGTTCTCGTAAGTTAATTCTGTTCCTTCCCACTACTCACATCTTACAGGAGCAAGCTAAAGGGAAGAAAAAGAGGCACAAATACATGTGATTAGCAAAGGATTCCGTCTCTCTCAGAAAGTTTACCGAATTGTTCCTCCTGGGGACCAATATTATTAGGCTGAAAGCGAAGCACAGAGACACACCACTGTCATTAGCAATTATCGTTCAGCCTCTCTGGAACCCGGTGACGCATCTGATAAAATGGACCAGGCGAAGCCCATGGGGGCATTGGTCGCCCCTCCCGTCCTTTAGCTCAATACACGATGAAACAGTTCGGCAGGGACGGCAGGGACGAGATTCTGGATGAAGCAGGGACAAGAGGAAAAGCACACAATGGTAGGAAGAGATTAGCAAAAAGGTCAGGGCACCCGTGCTGCCCGGGGAGGCCTCCTGAGCACCTCGATGCTGTGACGTGTGCTGTGGAGGTGGCCCCGAGCTCACAGATGGGGCTCTGAGGAGGCACTGTCTTGACCTTTTGGGCCAAGGTCAGAATGCGGGCGAGTATTCCACCTTGACTTTGCATCCACCAGAACGAATGAGGAAGATCCAGGGGCACAAATGAGATCAATAGAGCGGGAAATGGGGACAGGGGAGGGAGCCGGAAGCATGACCTTTGGCCAAACCTGTTAACTATCCCCAGCTGGACCTGAATGTGACAGAAGTATAGAGAGAGCACTCTTCCTTCTATAGAGAATGTTCCAGAGCCTTAAGCAGCTGATAATGTAGACGGGGGCCCAACCTGACTCTTTCCTTTTGACAAACACATAGACGGCACTTACTGTTGTAAGCACTTCACAAGTATTAACTCAGTCCTTTAATAAGTGGGAACCCTGGCTATGCCCATCTTACAGAGCAGGTGACATAACTAGCCCAGGTCCCCCAGCTAGCCCCAGGGCACAGGGACACTATCTTGGTTGGACCGAGTGAGGTCCTCTCTGGAGTCTGAGATAGCTACTGCTCAGAATCCCAGGGGGATCAGACGTGGACTGCTCTCCTGTCCCCCCACCAGCATGCTCTCCTACCGGTCGGTTGACATCCGGAAGAGTCTGCAGCTGGAGGAGCTGCTGGCCAGGGAGCAGCTGGAGTACACTATCGAGGAGGAGGTGGCCAAGCAGACCATCCGCATGTGGCTGAAAAAGTGCTTAAAGCGCATCAGAGCTGTGAGTGGACTGGGGATGTCTGGGTTTGTGTTTCCTCCTCTCAAAGGAGGAAGAAGAGGGAGAAAAGAAAAGAACTCTGGCGGGGGGCGGGGTGCAGGGGTGCTCCTGGGTGGCTCAGTCTGTTAAGCATCTGCCTGTGGCTCAGGTCAAGAGCTCAGGGTCCTGGTATCGAGTCCCGCCTGGGGCTCTCTGCTCATCAGGGAGTCTGCTTGAGAGTCTCTCACTCCCTCTTCTCCTCCCCACCCCATGCTCTCTTTCTCTCTCTCAAACAGATAAATAAAATCTTTTAAATAGAAGAGAAAAAAGTTTCATTAGCAACAGGTTGAGATTCTCCTGTGATTAGCCTCGTGGCCCTTCAACTACATCGTCCTCATCCCCTTGCGACGGCCGCAAAATCATTCATGCCTTCGCTGCAGTCCAGACCCAGCCGCACCCTCTTCAGCAGAGTCCATAAGACGTTCCCATTGAGTGACATTTTTATAATAGAACATGAATGTTTAAAAAGCAGTTTATTGAGGTGCACCTGGGTGGCTCAGTCGGTTAAGCATCTGACTCTGGATTTTGGCTCAGGTCATGATCTCAGGGTCATGAGATCGAGCCACGCATCGGGCTCCACGCTGACCGTGGAGACTGCTTAAGAGTGTCCTCTCTCTCCCTCTTCCCATCGCCCTCTCCCCACATCTCTCTCCCTAAAAAAAAAAAAAAAAAAAAAAAAAAAAAAAAAAAAAAAAAAAAAAAAGGAAAAGAGAAAAGAAAAAAAGAAAGCAGTTTATTGATATTAAAATATTTGTGATCTCCATTTATCAAACTCAACTGTTCAAAATGCCCCAAATCTCTACATGTGAGAGGCCACTGAATGTGCAAAACTACCTATAAATTGTTTCTGAAAATTCCACCCTACCATTGATATTGCTTGGTCTTTAACAAAGGCCACCTCTCCTGGGAGTTTAATGATCTGTCTGCTGCCTTCAGAATTACAAGCTTATAAATTCTCTGACTCATCAATCAATGAACACATACTATGTGGACATACATTGTGTTTACAATAGACATTTCTACTAGATAATTACTGTTATGAATTACACTTCACAGAGGAACAAAATCAAATTAATCACTAAATATTTGTATTGAATAGATTTTTAAAATTCTGTGTCTCAGAACAACATCAGCTACAGGAAACATATCTTTCTATTGGATGAGAAAAGGTCCCCCAAGAAACAAAACCACCCAACCTGCCCCACTACAGGCTCCAGGAGCACACGGGGAGCTGGACCAGCACCAGACTGGGCTCCCTGATGTGTGCCAAACAGACTGGCCTGCTTCTATCCAAGAACCAAGGCAAGAGCAAGGGTTTCACTCATCCACCCAAGGCTTCTGCCTCTAACAACCCAGAGGAAAAGGGCAGTCACTACTGGCTTAATGAGCACCAAGCGAAATAAGAAGGGAAAAAATAAAACACCTACATTAACTATTCAAAAATTCTATTTTACATACAACACAAGGTGTATCAAAGGACATGCTTATTCCCATTGTTATGCAAATTAGCGTGGGTTGGGCAGGCTCTGAGCCCTCCTTCATAGCCATGAGACAGGGAAATTAGTTAAGCTTCCTTATTTGGAATCCCTAAGAGGTCGCCAAGCACACAGGTTCTTTGGAGAGGAGAGAAGAAAATATGATTTGAGTGGTGGGGGATGGGGGATGTTGGGCTGATTTCTCTGTTACCAAGAGCATAATCATATTTCCATAGAAACAGCAACAATCTTGTAGCATCATCCACAGCCTGAGAGAGAGCCAGCAGCAGGAGCTGAGCCGCTTCCTGAATCCTCCCAGTATCGAGACCACCCAGCCCAGTGAGGACATGAACGCTAACAGTCAGGATAATAACATGCAACCGGAGGTATGAGGGTCCTTCCTCCAAGGATATTAGGTGCAGTTTTAGAAATAAAAAATAAATTTGTGCTGTTCACATAGCCGTTTCAAACAAGGTGACAGTATTTCCAATGGGAAGTTTTTAAGTTAAAAACGGAACGTGTTGATCCAGATTGTGTTTGGATCTTTGCAACTCGGAATCATTTGGGGTTATTTCAAAAGATTCTCATTCTGAGTTGTATGAACACTAAAAAAAAAAAAAAAAAAAAAAAAAAAAAAGTGCATACCCAGAACTCACTAGTTCTGCCGATTTTTGTCTAAAGAGTTAATATTGCATTTCTATGGGCTTAATTGGAGGCCAGTGATATTAGGTGAAGAACGTGGTTTGAAACTGAAACTCAGTCCTAAATGCGTTCTTCTACCACGTCACAGGAACTTGCAGTAGAATCAGTAAAAATGGTTGTAATTAGCCACCAACCTTTTTAAATAGACTCATTAAGGATTTGCCCTTCCTTAGTTGGGCACCGCTAGAGCATATGGGATTCATGAGGATTAGCCCGAGGACCTTCTTTTTGCCAGGACCCTAGCTTTTTTCCATTCCCAGACGCAAGGTCCCCGTCCACGTGTCCATACAGATGCGCGGAGAGGCGCGGGCGCCCTGGAGAGCCCGGCCTGGTGACCAGCAGCTGCAGGAGGTCCTGTCCTTTATGAGGGCACAGTCGCGGACCCGCTGGAGTTGATCCGGCATCCGGAGAGGAGCCCCTGGCAGGGTCAGGCTTCGTGGTGTGTGTGTAGTGACGGGGCCGCGGTAAATACTGAAGCTTGAGGCTCCGCGCCGGCCGGGGCCTCCAAGGGGATCTCCTGTTCCGCAGTGCGGGTTGGAGTTAGGTGATGCTGGCTCCCCAGCAGTAGGGATCATCTGCCAACAGAGACTCCTGCAGGGACAGTCAGCCAAGGCGGAGGGGTGGGGGAAGGGGGACAGAGGGGCTGCTACAGCGGCCTTGCCACCTGTCTGCGGGCGGAGCAGGGGTAGGATGAGGACAGCCAGCCGGGCAGGGATGAGGCTGGCAAAGCGGTGACCGCAGAGCTAACCCCAAACCAAGAGGAGATACTCAAGTGACATGGAGACCAAGACAGTGACAGGACAGGAGAAGGGGACGGTGCACCAGAGAGTAAATCATGTGCAGAGTCTCAGCCTTTCTCTGACATTCGTCTTAACGGGTATCAGCTTCGTTCTCCTCGGGGCTGTCGGGGAGTTTTACCTGCTGAGAACGCTCTTTCCGGAGCGCAGGACTGACCTCCAGGTTGGCGAGAATATACTTCCCGGAACCGGCAGTCCCTGCTGGCCCCCTTCCGTCCTGGTCCGGCAGCAGGTGCTGGGGGGGAGGGGCGGAGCCGTGGGGTGGAGGAATCCCGGAGGGACGCCGGGAGGAGACGCTACCTGGAGAATTGCGGCCCCTTCTCTTCACCGCGTGCAGCGGGGACTCTCACTTTCCTGGACTCTCTGAACCCATTTTCCTCTTCTCCCTCCCGTACTGTTTCTCCCACTGTTTTCTGCGGTGCTTTCTTCCTTTCAACAATAAATCGAGGGTCCAGACCAGTGCAGAGGGCAGAAGGGGAGCACAGCGGTCGGAAAGGGCCCTAACTGCCTCCCTCTCGGCCCGTGCAGACCAGCAGCCAGCAGCAGCTCCTGAGCCCCACGCTGTCCGACCGAGGGGGCAGCCGGCAGGACGCCGCGGACCCCGGGAAACCCCAAAGGAAGTTCGGGCAGTGGCGGCTGCCCTCAGGTGTGTGCTCTGGGCCCTTTCTCCGTTGATTCAGGCGTTGTAGACGAGTCTACACCCTGTGGGTTTGGGGTCTCGGATTTCAAATTCGGGTGGGCCTCTAAGTTGTTTAGACTCCCCTCACTATTGCTTACACTATCTGTCCTTTTCCTTTGTATATGCTAACGAACAGCCACTCACCCATATTTCTATGACACTTACATTTGCCCAGATTGGAACATTTAGTGATTTTTTTTTTTTTTACTAAGTTTTTTGTGATTATCTCAAAGTGAGATGGGGGGCAGGTAGCATGTTTTCAAAAGATATTACAGGTTGTCCATGGACATAATTTTAAAGTCCATGCATTTAAAGGTTATGAATATAAAGACCCAAGAGCTAGAAGGGGTTCATACTTAACGTCCTGTGGGGGGGGCGTGTTGAGCAGAACTGGTTGTTACTGGTGGGGACATCACAGCTTTTCGGGAAGGGCTTGCAGGGGTGAACGGCTCCGCGTTGCTCATAGGACTCTGGTCAATTCCACAGCACCCAAACCAATAAGCCACTCCGTGTCTTCGGTCAACTTGCGATTTGCAGGGCGCACAACTATGAAATCTGTAGTGTGCAAAATGAACCCCATGCCCGACACGGCGTCGTGTGGTTCGGAGGTTAAGAAGTGGTGGACCCGGCAGCTGACGGTGGAGAGCGACGAAAGTGGCGATGACCTTCTGGATATTTAGGCGGGGGACTCAGTGCAGAGCAGGGTCTCATGGGGAACCCTGTTCTGTGACATTTTTCTCCCACTAACATCCTCTAGCGAGGAGTCTGGACTTGAGATGTCATTTAATTCCACCTCGTCACAAGATTTTTTTTTAAGTGGATTTTTGTTCCGCCTGGGGGGGGGGGCGTAAACCTTGGTCTGTCGCAGTTGTGTCTATGAGGGGTTGTTACCGTGCGTTCCAGAAAATTTGCATAATGGTGGTATTTGTAATATTACCCAATACCAGATGTAGATCATTCAGACATTTCCTATATTCTATCTGTGTAAGCTAAGGTGTATATTCATATAAGCTCTTAAGCAGTATTCCCCACCCTGAAAGAGTGCTAAGCCCCAGGAGGCTAATATTTATGGTACGGAAGCTATAGCTTTAGCTCATGTTTATCCCACTTCTACTAGAAATACTTCCCTTGGGAAAATTTATTATTTACGATTGATCTGAAAAGGTCAGCACTGAGCTCATACTAAAATGACAGTAGTTTTACAAACTACAGATTCTCAATTTTTAAAAGTATCTTCTTATTCTCGTGTTATTCTTAAAAATAGGCACGAACTATTGAGAGAGCAGACCAAGTCTGTTTCTGGCCTGGGTCACTCCAATGAAACGGTTGCCTGCTCCCTAGAGAGCTGTGAGTGCAGACACCAGGCAAAGACATTTGGCCCAAGTCTCCAGCTGGTTTAAAATAAACGTGTACATAATCACTGGAAGGATGAACTTTCATAACGATGTTGAGTTTCTTTCAAAGCTGTTCAATAACTAAGTTTAGCAAAAAGAGTGAAACTACATGATTCAGGCTGTTAAAGAAATCTTCAGGCGTGTGACGTTGTCACTGGCTTCATGGCCTAACCCAGAGTATGTCCGTTTTGCCATAAAGTCAGCAAAGACATTGTGAGTTGATCCCAACACACCATTGACACATTCAAGGGAAAATGACTCCCTGCTATCAAACCCTTCAAAGGAAATAATGGCAACTTTGTAAAAACCCCACTTGGAACTCAGTTTAGGGACCCCACAACCCGGCTGTGTTTGTTTCACACACCATGTGCTCTGGGAAAATTAAAATGCAACGCGATTACAAAGTACCTGGGCCTCTTATGCTGAGTCAACCAAGTAGAAGTGTGTCCGGGCCCTTAACTATGTTATTTTTGGTTGGAGATTTGCTGTTCTGATGATTTCTTTTAGTGGAGCGATGATCTCCGAGTCCTTTGACACCCCAGCTGGCTTTATGATCTCTTTTTCTCTATTTAACGTTCTTAAAATAGCCGAATCCTTTCTGTATAACAAACGTAACACTGTGGTGCCATCTGTTGTTTAAGGGGTTAATTGTGACTCTAGGATAATGGGTAATTAAAGTCAGTGCGGCCAAAAGGATTTTATCTGGTTTTATGTTCAGTTGGAGTTTACTTTTTGTACATAAGCAAATCAAATAAATATTGCTTTTGTAAAAGAATTTACTCTGAGTTGATGGTCATTTCTAAACCCTTTCTCATGTGTGGAACGAGGGAAGGGGGTTTTGGGGGTAGGATCTTTAGAAATCAGGCACTTTGCAAACTCTGTATTTGAATATTCTGTCTATAATTACTTAGCAAAAGCTCTGTCCCTGATACTCATTTCCGTTCAGTTCCTAAGCCAGATTGTTCCTTTCACGTGCCCATAAGGCTGAGTAAATACCCTCCAAATCCACAATAAGACGGAAAAGGGTCTTACATGGCCTGGGCATGAGTCTGTCCTCGTGCTGCCTGAAAACGAGATTTTATTTTTTGGCTCATTGCACTTGAGTAATACGGCGGCGGTCCCACAGAACCGCTGAGCCTTTCCTACAACGGCTGTTAACTGGTGTTTCACAGAACATCACTGTTGTTCATTCTGCGGTGAAGCAAAGGGCCCAACAGCAATGCGTTTGGAGTCCTAGCACCCTCCATTTTCAGTTAAGTGAGACAGTCCAGCAAGTCCCGTGGGACTCAGCTCTGCAATTTCCTGGTCAGTAGGGCAGACAGCAAGCGAGGAGGTAAGTGCTACCCCTCTTAGATTTGTCATCAACCTATGAACAGTCCGGTTATGCAGATGGGAAAACTTCAGCCACAACACTCCCTGGTCCTTAGGGAGCCAGACATTGACACTAATCCTGTCATCATGCCACCCACTGCCTTTAATTAAAGGACGCTGTTGGTTCCAAGCACACCAGAAAGCATAAGGGGCAGAATGGTTGACACAGAGCCCCTAGTGGGAACAGACCACACGTGCATCGCACATATGGCGATTCAAGGGGACTCACAGGGGACAGAGATGGAGAGAAAGGCCGGACCGGTGTTATTCACTCTCTCTTCAGTGGTCGACTGAGAGCAGCACTCGTCTTCAGCGACTGGCCGTGTGTGCCCCGTCGGAGCTGAGTAAGGTAAGGACTTGTAGAAGAAAAACCAGTTACAAAGCCTTAAGCAAAAGCATTTTCAAAGCCAGATGAGTGATGTTTCTGTCTGCTTCTTTGTAGGAAGGGGCAGACTGTAGGTAAGTGGCTTTCAGTCGGTTACTTGGCAGTGGTGCTCTTAGAGTCCTTCAAAATTCCTCAAATATTAACCAAGCAAAAGCTGGGCATCCTTAACTGAAGTTGGGATGCAGAGGAGAACCCCACTCACATGGTATCTTTTCACCTCCTGATATTGATTGAATTGTGCCCCTACCACCAACCCCCCCAAAAAAGGAGAAATTGAAATCCTAACTCCCAGTACCTGTGAATGTGATCTTTGGTGGGGAAGAGTCTGCAGGGGTAATGAGTTAAGGTGACGTCACACTAGAGGAGGTGGACCCATCATCCAATATGACCGGTGTCCTTAGAAGAAGAGAAAGTCACACAGGGAAGAGAATACCATTGGAGGACACAACACAGAGGGAAGACGGCCGTGTAAAGACAGAGGCGGAGATCAGCGTGATGCTGACACAAGCCAAGGAACGTCTAGGGGTGCAAGAAACTGCAAAAGGCGACAAAGGATCCTCCCCTAGAGGCGTTAGGGGGGGCATGGCCCTGCCAACACCTTGATTTTGGATTTCTAGCCCCCAGAACTGGAACTGAGATGGTAAGTTTTTGTCACTGTAAGCCACCCAGTTTGCAGCATTTTGTTACAGCAGCCTTAGAAAAAGTAATATACCCCCAAACCCACTCCAGCCCCCAAAGATGGCCTGAACCAGCCCAGTGCTCCAAAGTACCTAGCTGGAAAAGTGCTACTACAGGTCAAAGACCCTGAGTTTGTAGTTTGACCGATGTTTCAGGTCCTGGATTTACTGGTTACTCATTGTGCAATCCCTGATGAGTTTCATACCCTATCTCGGCCAAAATTTAGCTTCTTGCTTTTAAAGAAAAGGCAGGAGAGGGGTGCCTGGGTGGCTCAGTTGGTTAAGCAGCTGCCTTAAGCTCAGGTCATGATCCCAGAGTCCTGGGATCGAGCCCCGAACTGGGCTCCCTGCTCATCGGGGAACCTGTTTCTTTCTCTCCCTCTGCTTGCTGCTCCCCCTGCTTGTGCTCTCTCTCTGACAAAAAAAGGAAAATCTTTTTTTTTTTTAAATGGTTTTAAAAACAAGACAAGAGAGGTGAATTTATTCATTTAAAAATAGAATCACCATATGATTCCAGCATTACCATTTCTTGGTACATATCCAAAAAAAAAGGAATGCAGAGTCTCAAAGAGGTATTTTTTATACCCTTGTTTATGGCAGAATTTTCACAATAACCAAGAGGGAAATCACCCAGAGATCCATCTTTGGTTGGATTAAAAAAAAATGTAGATGCATGCAATGGAATATTACTCAGTCTTAAAAAGGAAGGGAATTCTACTACAGGTAACAATAGGATAAACCTTGAGGACATTATGCCAAATGAAATAAGACAATCACAAAAAGACAAATAGTGTAAGAGTCCCCTTATATGAGGAATCAAGTTTAGTAAAACTCATAGAAACAGAAAGTAGAATGGTGATTGCCAGGGTCTGGGGAGGAGGGAAATTGTCATGCAATGGGTACAGAATTGCAGTTTTGCAAGATGAGAAAGTTCTTGAGATTGTCTACATAGCAGCGTGAATATACTTGACACTATTGAAATGTACACTTAAAAATGGTTAAGGGGTGCCTGGGTGGCTCAGTCGTTCAGTGTCTGCCTTCAGCTCGGGTCATGATTGCATGGTCCTGGGATAGAGCCCCCCATTCATCTTTCTGTTTGGTGGGAAGCTTGCTTCTGCCTCTCCCTCTGCCCCTGTCTGTGTTCCCTCTCTCACTGTGTCTTCTCTGGCAAATAAATAAATAAAATCTTTTTAAAAATGGTTAGATTTGGGTGGCTGGAGGAGTCAAGATAGTGGAGAAGTAGCGGCTGAGACTACTTCAGGTTGCGGGAGATCAGCTAGATAGCTTATCTAAAGATTGCAAACACCTACAAATCCGACGGGAGATCGAAGAGAAGAAGAACAGCAATTCTAGAAACAGAAAATCAACCACTTTCTGAAAGGTAGGACTGGTGGAGAAGTGAATCCAAAGGGACGGGAAGATAGACCGCGGGGGGAGGGGCCGGCTCCCGGCAAGCGGCGGAGCAACGGACACAAAATCGGGACTTTTAAAAGTCTGATCCGCTGAGGGACATCGCTCCAGAGGCTAAACCGGGGTGAAGCCCACGCGGGGTCAGCGTGGCCTCGGGTCCCGCAGGGTCACAGAAGGATCGGGGTGTCTCAGTGTCGCAGAGCTCGCAGGTATTAGAACGGGGAAGCCGGCTACAGAGACGGAGCCGAGGAGTGACTCTCAGCTCGGGGTTACCTTGAACCGGTCGCAGGCTCGGTGAGCTCGGAGCGCGGCCGGAGGCCAGGGTGACGGGAGTAATTGGGCGCTGTTCTCTGAGGGCGCACTGAGGAGTGGGGCCCCGGGCTCTCGGCTCCTCTGGGCTGGAGACTGGGCGGCCGCCATCTTCATTCCCGTCCTCCGGACTCTACGGAAAGCGCTCAGGGAACAAAAGCTCCGAAAGCAAACCCGAGCGGATTACTCAGC